TTCTAAGTTCTATTTCTTTACTATAACTTGCAAAGATGGAAAGTAAAAATGTAACTAGCCACACATTTAAAGAACATTCACATTTGCATATATGCAAATGCTGTTACGAATGCAGTAAGAGATTTTCTGAGATTTCCAAAATATACATACAGAATTTCTTTCATTTAGCACTCAGTTTCTTCATGTTCAAAAGAAAAACACCACCAAAAATATTGTTTCAAATAGTCTAAATCTCTAAATCAAAGGGTCTTCATAGAAACATTTTCTTCAGCTAACGAAAAGCAGCATAAGAAAGAATGCACATATATTTTTCCAGTATACTTCAACAATTTCACTATGAAATTTGAATTTGTTATAGTCTTCTCTCAATAGAATTTGAATTTGTTAGAATTGAATGTGTTTGTSTTTTTGCCATAGAATTCGTTATAGTCTTCTCTCAAAATAACATTTTAGCAGCTTTATAGAATTCTTCACTCTTCTGCTACTTTGTATTTATTTTTCACTTCCACTCACTTCCATTCATTTGTACATTCTAACTAGTCTGCACAGCCTTCAGGAACGGATTTGCTTCTTTGCAAAATGCCTTCCTTAAATATAAAGTTGGTTGGGGAGAGAAGGGGGAAAACAATTTTCAGCAAGAAGCATAAAGCCAAAATCTGTATTTCATGCCATCAAATGAAGAAGTGCAAAATTCAAATGCTGTCTGTATTCAGAAGAAATTTAATGGCAGCTTGTGGCATTTCTGATTATTCTTACTGTTAAAACCGTTGTATTTCCAGCTGAAAAGAGAATACAAGCAATAAGAAAGCTAGAAAAAGACATGACATTCCAATGTCCACTTAAAAACAATTATTTGTGTTCTACTGCTGTGAAGAAACCTCTTTAATTTACTCCATCAGCTATCTGAACAGTTCACACTATAAGTTATGCCAAATAAAATAATTCAATTTTGTTTAACACAGGGTTAKGTGCTTTACAGCTTAGGGTTATAAAATAATTCAGAAATGATGAGGCTGTGATTCTCACTTGGATCTGTCTTTCTTCAGGAAGTCAGAAATCTCTTAGAACTATGAATATGTTGTTTGGCCTCTCCAAAGGCAACTCATATTTGCCAAGACTTCATCTATGACCAATAAAGGTGAGAAGATCCAACACCTCTTTTGACATGACTCGTAAATGTAATAGCTTTCAAATGTTATTCTGAGAAATATAAAGTTTAGAATAGCAATAAAAAGTGCTTCAGCTATTGCTATTTAATTTTTTTTTATCTCTCTCTATTAACAAATGTTATATATTCACATAATTCCTCTCCTATCTTCCAGGGGTAGAAAATTCAAGAGGACAGTCACAGAATCCCAGASTGGTTGAGGTTGGAAGGTGCCTGTAGRGATCATCCAGTCCAACCCCCTGCTCCAGCAGGGAYACCCAGAGCACGGGGCACAGGKYGGCATCCAGGCGGGTTTGGGAGATCTCCAGAGAAGGAGACTCCACAGCCTCCCTGGGCAGCCTGTGCCAGGGCTCTGKCACCCTCACAGSRAAGAAGTTCCTCCTCACGTGGAGATGGAACTGCCTGTGTTGCAACTTGTACCCATGGCCCTTTACCAGTAAAGCCCAGGACAGTGAAAGATACCCAGTACTGGCCAATCTATGAGCTGCATAATCTCTACCAGGAAAATTTTCACAAAAAGTAAATCTGTAATTCTTTCTTGCCAACAAGAATAAATAACCCAGTCTGTACTGTAGGAGTTACACAGTACTGACTACCTCAATGGTCACTGAAAAGTTTAGACTAAGTTAACATTAACTAAATAGGATTCTTACTGCTGTCTGTCTGTCGCTCGGAGACTAATGAATTGTGGCTTTTTCAGCCAAGGAAGAAGCTGTTTTATACTCGCTCTAATAAACTCTAGATGGTCTCATTCACACTCTCACACTGGAAACAGGCTCATTCAGGAAACAATATCTGAAGCTGTGCTTAAAGTGCTACCATTTCCCTTAATTAGAAGCTGAGAATTCTTTTCTATCTGTTGCCTTTCCTGCGAATCCAAAGAAACCTGTTTGCTGAGATGTGAATCACATACCAGTTAGCATCCTAAATAAATCAAGAGCCATCATAACCAAATATTTAGATGATGCCCTATTTTATATAATACACCTATGCTGTGAAATTCTGGGCTGTACAAACATTAAGCAATGTACATAAATCAATGGGTTATGAAGTACTTCAGAAGCTGAACACTCCTAAAGGTATCTGGCAATGTCTAACACACTTCTCTGCAAGGTATCCTTGRTTTCATGGTGAAAAGCCAACCCCTAATATCCACCAGGATTCAGATTTACCAAATTTCTAACAATGAAATTCAAAGTTCAGTTCCTGAAAAAATTTCGGTTAAAGGTCTTCTGCCACTGASATTTTAATCAAACGATACAGTGAAGAGACAACATTTACAGCTTCAAAATAGAGAGGAAGGACTTAGGCCAACAAGAAATTTTTGCATATATATCTTGTAAAAATGAGGGAGGAGAAAGAGGAAACCCACAAACCAAATCCTGCCTACAAAAGAAAGACTACACACACAGCCATGTACATTCTGTCACAGCTGTAAAAAGATACTCACTAAACATGTTCATAATTTTGATGGATTAAAATATGGTCCATGGTACATGTCAACTATTTAAATATCAACGCTTTCAAAGGCATGATAGTAATATATTCTGAAAAATCAAAGTCTGGAGCATCTAACCTGTCAGTTATTTATACTGAATTTCCATTTCGTTCGCCAACAAGAAATGCAACAGGAAGGAACTAAAACATTTGGTATCTCCACCCAAAGGCATTGTTACTTATTTCTTCCAAATGTAGAAAACAGACATGCACTGATATATGTATCAAGTAGGCAACCATAAAACGCCTGCTAATTACAGATTTTACTGCTAAAGTAACTGAACAACAAAGAACATATTTTTTAATCATACGCTTTGCAAAAAGATGATGAAAACTCAAATAGTTTCAGTGGAAAAGTAACAGTCCACGTAGCACAAAAATGTATGTACTTATACTTGCTTTTAAAAAACTTGAGCAGAATTCATCCAGTGCTATGGAAATTTATAGTGATATATTGAAGGAACTAAATGTTTTTAAATTCTATTTCTGAAGGTATAGTGATCATCTCTGAAAAATCAAGGATGCTGGGAGTGATCCTATAAGTCTGCAGAAGCAAATGCCAAATTCAAAAAATAATATTTAAAAGTATAGATAATTGACCTAAACCAGTTACACAGAAAAAACAGTGGTGCAAATTAGTAAAGAATAAATCACAGAGCACTTAGAAAACAAGGCAGTAATTAAGAAACAAAACCAAAAAACACACTAATTTGGCAAGTCCAAAACATAGCAAAACAGCTGACTTTTCATTTCACTGCTGCGGCTGAGCTGGTGCCTAGAACCAAAGCAGTGCATGTTCCTATGCTCTGACTCAATTACATCTTTTAACATYGTTGCCAATGAAAGTTTCCTAAGTTTTGAAAAATGTGGCATAAATTCAGTTATTAAAGCAGAACACACCAARGCTGGAAGAACACCCTACACCTCCTAAGCTGTATTCATGCAGTCTTCAAAATTTTTCTCAAGAAATTGGGGCATTATACGAAGCAAGTGTCGGGGGTCTCAGTGCACCATCACAGGCTGCAACATCTTCCCCTCCACCTTTTGCTGGGTGGCTCTGGCTTTRCAGAGCTGTGGAGCAAACTGAGCAGCCTGGCTGGGGTCCCAGGGCTCAGGAGCCTCTGCCTGGCCCTGGACCTCGCTCATCCCAACCCCGAGCCACTGACTTGCCCTATGTGAGTGCTATGTAAGCAGAGGGGGAAAGGATTGAGGAAAATATTTAAATTCAAAGGTTTCTGATGGACTGAAGAGACGTCCAAAATCAACATGGGCCCATCAATTCCAACTCAATAAACAGGAAGATAAGTGAACAAACAACTAAACAACTATATGATTATTTTGTATCTACTTAGGGTGACTAAAAGCACCCCAAGGGGATGAGAAAATAGTAAGAAAGAAGGATGATAAGCTGATAAAAAACAAGTTTATGATGAGAAGCTGATTATCAAAATAATTCAATCTCCTTTTTTCATCCCTCAATATTCTTCCCAGAAGTGGCACAGTTTTAAACTAAGTTTTGTTCTTATTCTTTTTAAAATGTTAAATAAGTGACAAGTTGGAGTAGCAAAGGTGTCAGACTTAGGAAACAACCCAGTTTTCATTAGAGTGATTATTAGGGTAATACATAAACAGAAATGTTTATCTAGGGCCATCCATCACTAGATATTTCAAACAAGAGGTTGGAAATCAAGGTTAATCAAGGGCAGTTGGAATTATTGATGAAAGATTTTAATTGTAATGATGTAATTAGAGGAATCTGAAATCTTAAAAACCTGGTAATGGAGAATGTTGATGGAATAATAGGAAATAGAAATGATCCACCTTTTTTGTTAATTTTTATGTGGGCTGGACACACCAAACATATTAATGTCTATGAACAGAAAAAAAAATCCTGGATTATTGGAAAATGCATCAGGACAAAAGAAAGTGTTTATGAACTCTGAATCACAGAATCACGTAATGGTTGAGGTTGGAAGAGGCCTCTAGAGATCATCTAAGTCCCACCACCCTGCTCAAGCAGGGACACCCAGAGCATGTGGCACAGGGTCACAATATAACCCGTTTTCTGTTTTGCTTCACAGGAATAAATATATCTTTCAAATTATGTTACACATAACTATCAAAATTTTGTCTTTTTCTTTACATAACAATAGAAAAATTATATTTAAAGGCATTTATGTTTTCCATAAATATACGACCATAGAATTGGGYAGTAGATGCATCCAGTACCTCAGTGGTACAAATGGATTCAATTTCACTGGAAAAAGAAAATCAGAGATTTTATTTCATTAAATAATGAGCTTGTTACATGCATTGCAAGAAATGTTTAACTCACCTGATTGCCAACTAAAAGAAGATGTTCTCCAAGCAGGAAGTCTTTAAGCATATCTTCCATTACCATCATGTGCTAGAGGAAAAAGGAGACAAATTTCACTCCTGTTTCTATACTCTCTGGTTTACACATTCAGTACTGAAAGTAGCATGCACAGATATTACTTTCAAGACTTTTGGTTGAACTACTTTAAGCATTATACTTACAGCTATTTATTTTAGAGAAAGAGTCTCTCAGCCAATAATAGCAAACTATGCAGTGACTGAAACAATAAAATCAAGATACTAAAACCTACTTATGTATKTCATCTGCTCCAGTTATTTTGGAGCAGGGTCTGATGTCTCTAGATATATTTAATTCTCAGCAAGGATGAATAATGCATTTCCTTTTAGCCTAGCTAGATGTTTGTCACTCACTATTTAAGACCCATCATTTATGTGTGTATGATTATTTTCCAGCTGTGAAGAAGGTCCAGAATACCAGATTGATTAATCTCYTGTTTTGGAGAGCTGAAAATCTTAGAGTTATATTATCACCTCCAGCACAGTTTACTACACTCTTAATTATACATGGTATGACAATTGCCTACAGATTGTGAGGAAGTTTCTGGGCTCACAACACTAGGCACTAAATGAACAGGCAGTAAGAGACAGTAACACAATTTAATTATGCAAAACAAGGGAGAAAAGTAACATTGCCATGCAGGATACAGGAAAAAGAGATGGGAAGATTCAAAAACATTCTTGACAGCAGGGAAAAAAAAAGAGAAATTATGTCTGTTCTAACCTCAAGCTCTATTCTGATTCTTCTAATACTATTGTTATTCCATTGTCCATTTAGGATATAGGGTTATACTTAAACTAAATAGAGAATAATGAAGTAATCAGCAATTAGTATTTCTGGATACATTCATCCAATACTCCTGGGGTAAACAACTACGTATTTCAGCATACGAATCYGAAGTTCTTTTTAAGCTATGAATGACTTCCAGGCTCACTATTTGAGAAACTGGCCCTCTTCATCTCACAGATCTACAGCCTGGCCCATCTTTTAACTAAGCCTTTGGGAGCACAGCTTAAGAGAAATGACTACGTGGGATATTACCGGCTGCCTACATTTTGTTATATGAAATGGTGAGGAGAAGAGCCCTAAAATATTTTTTAGGGTGCTTTTGTACACCTACACATGCGAGTGTGTGTTTGCTATACGTTGCCAAGAATCAATGCAGGTAGAAAGAGAAAAATCTGATGCTTAGTTAAAATTTGAATAGATGTTTGAAATTTTCACTTAATATATTTGTTTTTTGATTTGATTTCCTTTTGGCCATACTAATTACATTGCAGGCAATGTATTATTTACTACAAACGCATCATTTTTTATTTAACTCAAAATGTTAAAATTTCACAAAGCAGGAAGCATATTTAAAACAACTGAGATAACAAAGAATAAGAAAGATCATTCTCATATACCACATGAGAAAGAAAGGCAGTCAAATGTATCAAGRTGGAACTTTAAAGAAACCAAAGGTAATAACAGTGAATTGATGTAAATATAAATATTATATAGGTTTTTATTATTAAAAGAAAAGTGCAGCTTAATGACAGGTACATCCTTCTATTACTATTAAACTTTATTTTCAAGGAAAATAAGGATAGTAAAACGTAAGCTCAACTTCATAATATTACAAGTTGGTCATAATCAGATTCCCTAGTTGAAGTGCAAGTACTCACAAGGTGACTGTACAAAATTAAGTCTTATCTTGTTCCTCACAAATAATTTGTTTAMAAGGATCCAAACAGCTAAGGATAATATAGCAATGCAAGTTACTTTACGAGCTACAGTCTTGTATATCCTCCACTCTGCCTCATGAAAATAGGTCATCTCTAAGTAGGTCAGACAATCTACTTAGAGAAATGATTGCTTGCCTTCAGATAAACATATTTGTTTTCCCATTACCATCCCATCTTTAATATTTGATTTTGGAAAAGCAAAAAAAAAAGGGAAGAAAAAAAAAAACAGTAGTTCTGATGTGTTTTCAGAGTATACAGAAATATTTAGTTTGCAAGTGTGTGAAAACTGTTTTAGCTTTCCAAATCTCTGCAGGAAAGAGGGTGGGGGTAGGGAAGAAACTCCTGTAAACACAGCCTCATACTGCAAAATCCTCACTAGGCATGTCAAAAGACGACTGAATATACATTCCAGGGAGAGGGCTTCAAGGCAAATTACAGCATTTTGTGGCATGTACATACACCAGAAAYTTATAGCTGATGAGTGTAACTTTATCTAGTTACACCATAACAAATTCCAGTAGGCCAGTCATAGCACATGTACTGATTAGAGCTTCTGATTTTCCTGCTACAGCAGGAGTGCTTCTTTCTGATGACTTCTTTGCCCATCCTTAATTGCATAAATGTCTGTACATTCTAGTTCCCTTCCACAGCAGCCTTCTCACAGTAGATACTGATACACTGATACTTAATGTGTGTGTGCACGTATTTTTTTTTTTTTCTTGAAGAGGACCTAAATCAGCATTTTATTAGGATACAGGCAGGCATTTTAGATTAAGTGCTTCCACACAGGATTTCTATATGGACACATCAACATTGTACCACCTAATCAATCTAGGTTCCCTTAAGGCAAGGATGGCTGTGACATTCAACATATCACCTAAAAATCATTTCCATTCCTGTGCCATGTGGGGAGACAGTAATGTTTCACAGCAGTGCTGAATTCCATGGAAATATGAAATGTTTCAACACCAAATATACGTAAGACAAACATACAAATTTCATTACATAGCACCACATTGCAAAAGGTTTAGAATGTTTTTTCCCTGTTTTCATTTATTTCTCCAGTGTTTAGACACCAGAGTGGAAGTATTGCACTAGACACATAAATCAACTTTGTATTCTGGCGGGTTTTGCAAAATCATCATTGCAGCACTTCAATGACTGACCTACAGCAGGAACAAGCAGTATGGAACCTAAGAYTTAAATTCATTTTTAAATGGGAAAGCTATTCTGACAGGCATTTGGTCATTGTTTTCTTTAGTACTCAGACCACACTTCTATGGGGATAAATATGGTGCAGTTTGTTCTACAAAGCACTTTTAAAAAACATGTTGCCTAAACAAAGCAAATAAATAATATCTGGGAACAGGTTGTGTGCAGTTTGCTCTGGTGTGCTCAGTTACACTTACTGAAGCTCTGTGCAAGAGGATGGAAAAAGTAGCACAAGCTTAAGGCATTTCAAGACTTCGGATTTCATTTCAGACTGACCCAAACCAAGTGCTTTGGTGAAATGGCAACATGGAAAAAAAAATCTCACATGAAATGTTACAGGGGAAGATGACAACAATCATCTGCTCATGGCCTGTCATGACCTTCGGTAGGYGACACCCCTCAGCAGAAAGAGCATCCTGTGCTGTGAGGGATTTGAAAGCAAGCAGGGAAGGCAGAGAGAAGAGAAATGGGAAAAAAAAGAAAAAAAAGGAAGAAGGGAAAAGAAACTCCACGAAGTCGGCAAAGCCTCACTAGGCCCCTAAAAGGAAAATATTCCACGAGAGCACTGTAGCTGTCAGTGCTGCCTTTCAGAGGCAAAATATTTTCAAGGTCATTCAGGGGGCAATTCCCTTGAATGGGATACCCTGAAGTGACAGTTTTGAGGCCTCTGTGCTGGAAGGGAAAGTTGCAGTACACTTACCTCTTCAAAATGGGAAAAACACAATCCGCAAACCCTCTCAGTGTTCACAGAAGACTTTTTCTTATTATTTTTGTTATTCTTTTTCTATTCATGTACACATTGGAGTTCCTCAAAAGCAGTCAAAAAGTCTGAGAAACTGGGGTAACAGCCCTTGCGATGAAAAACCCCCGGGGGAACCTGCAAACACTGCTGCTTGCTACAACAGGGCTTTTAACCACTAGTAGCTCCATGAAAGGGATTTACTAACTTACGTGGTGCTTCCTAAGAAATTCTCACATGTTGACTGGCTCAAAGGGGTTCGTAGCCAATGGAGACATGAGGATTTGTGATCACATGAACATTACATAAAGGCATGAAGAAATGCACAGAACCTGTATCTGTCAAATGACTCTGATCTAAGTTTTTTGTACTCTCGTATTCCACATAATTCAAAATCAGATTAGTAAGTGAGTATTTATAACCAGGTTTTTGGAAAGAGGCTGTGATTTAGCCCAAGACGTTGTCAGTAAGTGTACTAGAAGTGCACTGAAAGCAATTCAAATAAAATGACAGGGAATAGGGACAGACTTAAAAAAACTAATTCCTCCTCACATTGCTTTTTTAGTACAAGGCAGGTATTGAAAATGAGCAAAACTTCATGTTCTAAGACTGTGAAATATCTTCTCAGTAAGGAATTGATGACCCAGCCACAAAAATCATAGAATCCTAGAACTGTTAAGGTTGGAAGGGACCTTCAGAGATCATCTAGTCCAAGCCCCCTGCTCCAGCAGGGACACCCAGTGCACAGGGCACAGGGCTGCATCCAAGCGGGTTTGGAAGATCTCCAGAGAAGGAGATCTGCCCTCTCTGGGCAGCCTGTTCCAGGGCTCTGTCACCCTCACTGTTACGAAATGTTTCCTTAAGTTCCTGCAGAACTTCCTATGCTTCAGTTTGTAGACATTTCCTCTAGTCCTATTGCTGTCCACCACTGAAAAGAGGCCGGCCCCTCCTCCTCACTGCCTCCCTTGAGGTATTTATACACACTGATCAGGTCCCCCCTCAGCCTTCTCTTCTCTAGGCTGAACAGGCAGTAGGTAATTTATTATATGTAAATAACTACATTGCTATATATAGTATATATTAGTGTGTACATCTATTTTATATAGTATTAGTGTGTATATATATATATATAGTGGGTGTTATCTTTTTATATATGTATATACACAGAACATATACAATTTTTTTCGCACCTCTGAAGCCAGAAATTCGTACTTACCTGAGTGTTTTCATAAAACAACACATCAGGTACTTTCATTTTCTCAGATGGGTTATAAACTGGCATAGTCACAGCCCCTATCTTCAGAATCCCGTTGCTTATTTCACCTGGACATTTTTCAGGAAACAAACAAGCAAATGCATTACTTAGAGCATCCTCTGAGCAGATATGCTATCCCTAGCACTTGCAAGACATAATTTAAGAATTTTAATCAGGCCATGCTTTGCTGTATATGATTTCTCAGTATGTAGAGAATGCTTAAAAGGACATCTATCTACCAAGCTACTCAGTGGAAAAGTACCTTTAAAAACACTGAAAGTTGTGACTGCTGCCCTGGTTTAATTCAGTACTCTTGTCACTAAAGTACCATTACGACTGTCAGACTGCATCTCTTCCACTGCAGAAGTGAGTGATCTCCTTTACTTTTTTTAAACAAAATAAGGTCACTGTAGATTTCTCCTTTTAGCATTGCATTTTTGGACAAATGGCTTTATGTCAGAAAATGGAGACATTTAACAACTTGGAAACAGCTGGCTCAATCTGCAGTTTTTGAGGCAATGTTCAACCGTAGTTCCAAGAAACTACTGTAGAAAAAAGTCTTAAATCAAGAGAACCATAACTTCTTTCCCTACCATAGCAACACTTAAATATAAATGATAATAACATGCTATCTTCTGACCTCTCTGCCGATGACTTTGTAATCTTACATGGTTTTAAACTGAAATTATTATGGTTTTAAACTGAAATGTATTTCTAGACATATATTTTCACTTGTTCACCTGCTATCGTTTATGGCTCTACCTTTATTTTTCTGCATGTTCTATGCAGAGAAAGATTAAGAAAATTTAAGAGAAGTACCAGGATGAAAAAAATGGTAAATAGGAAGCACAGAAGAACTGGTAAGATTTCAAACTATAAGTATAGCTATACACACACACACACACATATATATATATAAACACACCTACACCCACATACACAAACTTCATATTTTATATCTGTATTAACATACTTACATATATACATATATTAAATAGAAACTAGAAACTATATAAATAAAAACAAAGATGTGCTTCGTATTGCAAAGATCTAACAGTGAAAACAAGGAAGTTAAATACATGACACAATCGAGAGTAAGTATGCAGGATAGGGGCAGAAATGAAGAAAACACTGACGAAGAGGGACAAAGATCAAATATGCTGAAAGAAAAAGTTTAATGAAGGAAAAATAGCAGATGACTCAAAGCCTGCTGCCTGAGAGAAGCCATAAAAAGATAGAGAACTAACACAAAGACCAGAAGATAGGCAAGAATGAAAAAGCAGAAGTGAGAAAACGTCAGAATGAGAAATCTATGCATAGCACTGAAGGCAGTTTCAAAAGAGAAGTTGGACATCTGATTGATAAAACATGTAACAACATAGCTATATAAAGTGAATAAAAAGAAAGAAAACTAACTGTGTACCAGAATGAAAGCAAAACATAAATCTAGTACTTCTGCAAGAGTGCCAGTTGATTCTGGTAAAAATTGAAGGAAGTGATGGAATACTGAAGGCAAAGAACAGCACAAAACAGGGAAAGACTGAGACATCCACACCAAGCCTGTAACCCTTTGAAAAAGTAGTGGTAGTGAAAACATAACTTAAAAATATATAATCAAAGCAGTCCAAGAGAGTGTGAAGACACAGGTCTTACTGACTGGGAAATCTTGAAACGTGACAAAAAAAAAAATCCCAATATGCTGAGGCTGAGGCTACAATAGACAATACAGACATATTCAGGTATTAAGAATGCGTTATATCTCAATAGAAAAAAAAAGGCAAATTGAACTAACTGAAGCAAGCTACATTTATTTTTGAGCTTTATGTGCTCAATCTTCTAAGTTACACTCTTGAAAAGAAGAACAACAGCTGGCAAAAACTTACAGGTGTAATCCTTCTCCTCTAGTTTCCTTATGTCATCTGCACTGGTCTCAATACCAGAATCTAGCAGATTTTTCTGCAAAGCTGACCTGGCAAGGTTGGGTAAAAACCTAAAAGAGCAAAAATAAAAGAGATGTTATTTTCCTTTTTTAAAAAACTTTCACTATTTGATGTAATCTGAAGTCAGTACGAAGTTTCACTTGGACCTCCAAACCTTGAATAACGTCAATTCCCTTTACGCTCAGTTTCCAACAACTCATCTTCTGTCTCTATGGAGATAAGTTGAACTTCTTCTATAGGTAACTAATTACATTATTTTATTTACACTTTCATTTTAAAAAGATATAGTGTTATACAATATTGCAGCAAGGTTGAATTTCAGAATAAATTGGGACTGGAGTTATGTAATCTCATTTAGAGTTTGATTAGAAACAATATTTATTGGAAATATCTTTTTCTCTTGATTCAGGTCAAGTGAATCCCATATTCTAAAGGGGAATGAAAGAGCTCTGAGCTCTCCAGAACTGAATCTACTCAATTATCCAAATCTTGTTTTACCTTTGTTACATTATGTTTAGCTTTTTTTTTAAACGAGATGTTCATATATTTTTAATATAGTTTTGAGAACTGAATCCAAGTCTCCAGCAAACCCAGACATAACATGCTAGATATTAATATACTCCTGAACTGAATGTTCTGAAACAGTGAAGTATTGTTTTAAAGAAGACCTGACCGTCCTTTTATTTATGTGATGTCGTTAAACATCTCCATGAAGATGAGAAAACAGTACTGTGCCATTCCTACTTTCTTCCTAGGTTTGAGAATACTACAGAAGTACTGTTGAAGAAATTTCAGAATTTAGGGATTGCAAGACAGCAATCTACTAAAATATATTTTAAAATCCTCTTGCGTGTTAGCACTTGGCCAAGAAAGTTCTGAGCATTTCTACCTGGAAAGGCAGGCCTTGTTAACAGCGTGGTGAAGACTCTCATCTGGATGGTGTGACAGTCGACGACAAATTCGCAGTAGTTGTCGAGTCGATAAAGATGAAGCCAGTGATTGTGCCTGTCAGAAAATAGAGGGTACCTTCATTATTTGATACCTGGGATTTTAATGGACAAGGACAGAAAAAAATAATTAATAAAAAGGAATTCTTTCAACTTTTCTTCTAGTTTGGAGGTGCTTTGTGCTTTTTAACCTGCAGGTCTGTAATTCTGCGCTTGTTGCAGGAATCCATGAAAATCACAATGTCATCAAAAGGTTAGGATTCCACTCAAAAAGCAAAGAAAAAAATGTGTTAAATTGAATTTTATTGGCTATTTCAACCTATCACTAAACATTTTTAACAGGAATACAGGGTCTAGCCACTGGAAAAGAAAAAAATAAGGACCATCAATGTCCTAAAAGCTGGTCTACAAAAACTGATTATTAGCTCCACATGTAGCACTCTGGCAAAAGGGTCTGGCAAGACTTGGGGCTATATAAACACGACAACACTGGGCAGACGTAGGAAGATTTTATCACCTCTGCTCACGCCTCCTGGGCGGGCCGTGCCTGGAACACTGTGTCCTTTTCTGTTGTCCACATGTTAAAATGAATGTTAACAACTGGACATGATTCAGCAAAGAGTTACAGAAATGATTCAGTGCCTGGGCAGCCTTAAACAAACGCAGCAAAATTTAAAACAATAAAAATAAGGGAAAAAAAAAAAAGCTAGACTCCAATAGATCATTTATTTAAAGACACACATAAAAACTGAGAAAGAAAGGATGGTATCTATAATTACGCCTACCGGATGAGGGTATCTAATACAAACAGGGTCCTTAGTGTAGCAGGAAACACACAACAGTGAGTGTGATCTGATAAGTCATGCTATGCTCTGCCTGGGTCAAGTGAAATACTTTAATTAGGTAATTTCAAAAAGTTTGTTTTCCTTTAAAAATCACTTATAGAAGTGCATTATAATAATCTTAACATCGTATGCTGTTGCTGTTGAAAAAAATTGCCATCAAGGAAAAAAGAAAAAAGGAGAGAGACAGAAAGGTAGCAAAATATGAATTCACCAGATTTTTTTTCATCTTTAACGTTTTTAAGTATGAGAAATTTCTCAAAACCGATCTTCTTCCCCTGAAAAACTGATTTCGTGACCAATAGGCTCTAACACTAAAAAAAAAAAAAAAAAAGTTTGATGAAATTGTACAAAACTTTTATTTCCAGTACTGAGGAGGCAAAAGGTAACACTTYGCAGCATAGCTCTGAGCAATGAGCCACGATGATTTATACTGTGACAAGTGGTAAAATTACTACTCCTCCTTGCTTGCACTGATGGATGACTTCTGAAGCATCTTCTGACCGATGACAGTCAACAACTCAGCTTTACAGACACTGAGCTGTACCTGTGGTATTCCAGGTGCTCCCTCACAGCGTAGGCACGGGTGAAGCATAAGCAAGGTGAGGGATGAGAGCTGCGTTCCTGTGATCCCTGTTTGACAGCCAGAGTTCTCAGTGTCTTTGGGAACTACACTCCATTTTCAGAATTATTGTAAGCAGTGGAAATGCTGGCAAGCAGGGTGATTGCTGSGGAGCTGAGCAATCCCCCCAGGTCACAACTTTGGGGGCTGCATTGCAGGAGRGAGGCAGCTTGGTGGAGGAGCAGCAGTTAGGTGCACTTCACATCATTGTACCAAGCAAGAGAAAAGAAGCAGCCCCTCTTGCCCGACACACTGACAAATCCAACCCCTAAGGACACRGGCATTTTAAAGCTCAATTTATACATACAGTATCAGATTCTGCATAGGTACAAATACGAGGTACAAATAGAGGACTTGTCCACAGAGGACAAGTTGTGTCCCATCTCCTGAGTGTTTGTAACTGTGATAAGCTTTCAGTTAATAAAATTTCCTTTTTCCTCCTTTTAGTTTATTTTTATATGGTACAATTGCAAATTCAAAACTGGGTTAGTGACAGTCTCTGTAACTCCTATCTATGCAGTCTCTAATTCAACAGGATCTTGACCGTGGTCTCCAGGTTCTTTCGTAAATGAAGCAATTACAGTGACACAGGCAACACTTCCAGGCTGAATGACGCCCAGGTACTCACCTAGTGTTAACAATATCATTTTAAACAGCAGCTAATATTCCAGGATAAGCCCTGGTAAAGGATTATTTACTTAGGCAGCTCTATAAATAGCCTGACATACCTAGGGCACACATTTCTGCTCTTAATGCAGGCATGTCTCATGTCACTGCTCATCTACAAGAATCCTCCCTCAATCCATATTATGACTCACTTGTAGCCAACATCACTCATTTCATTTAGATATTCCTCAGTGTTATCGATATTGGCATATTTGGATAAATCTTTTTAATGGTTCAAGCAAGGTATATCTCTAAATATGCCAAAAAYTTATCAGTTGACATTTGCACAGTACTATGAGGAGGAAGGTAAATAGACCATTAGTAACAATAATGTCTAAAAGGTGTATCTGAAAGTCAACCTTTCTTCTTTTTTATTTCTTTTTTTTACTATTTTTTTAAGAGGAGGAGCATAACAGCCTTCCAGCTTTTCTCTGGTTCTTCAACACTGCAAAAACCATCACCAATGATAAATTCACAAAAAAACTAAGAATGGATGATGTTTACATACCAGCCCAACTGCTGGATTCCACTAAAAACACTTTACATTCTAGATACATTAAAATCATGCACTGCTTGAGTTGCTATAGCAATGCTTCTTTTTACTTTTCACTAAGATTTGACTGTATCTTTATAAAGACCTTTGTGCTTACTATGTCAGCAGAACTTATTGTTCTTGACAAAATCACTTTAATAGAGTAGTCATCACTTTAATGGAATGGCCTGTAGCAGTCAGGTAGCTAGGAATTCTAGGGTTTTCCCTGTTGTACTCCCAGGCTTCATTATTGCCTGTTGCATTCTGTAATGCTTAGGCAGTTCTCTGCCCAAACTTTTGCTTACTATAAAAGTTCCAGTGACTGAAGATTTGTACTGTATGTAACAGAATCATTAAGGTTGGAAGGTGCCTCTAGAGATCATCCAGTCCAACCCCCTGCTCCAGCAGGGACACCCAGAGCACGGGGCACAGGGCGGCATCCAGGCGGGTTGGGAAGATCTCCAGAGAAGGCGACTCCACAGCCTCCCTGGGCAGCCTGTGCCAGGGCTCTGKCACCCTCACAGGAAAGAAGTTCTTCCTCACCTGGAGGTGGAACTGCCTGTGTTGCAACTTGTACCCATGGCCCCTTGTCCTGTCACTGGCCACCACTGAGAAGAGCTTGGCTCCTTCCTCCCTACATTCACCCTTCAGGTACTTATACATATTAATMAGATCTCCTCTCAGCCTTCTGTTCTCCAGAATATAATAATATATAGCAAAACAAACTTACCAAAAACATTTGGACACACATGATTATGTCCATACCTATTCAAAAGGCACCTTACTGTGTTTCACAGTTAGCCACGCGTGTGCGCCCACTGACAACATACACTTTTCTCTCTGATTTCATTGGTGTGCAGGCAATTTCCTACACGCCTTAGTTAGGCAGGCTGGAAAAATGTAAATGAAAATTCAAAAGTTTACAGTATGTGTGTGGTGCAATGGCTACGAACGGTGATCTTCTGAGCTTGCTTCTTTGAAACAGGCCGCCTCTAAAATAGCACCAGAGYTTAGCATGCTTCACCCAGCCTTTGTTCAAACATGGCAGTCGCAGCAGGAGAAAGTAAATTTGGAAAAAAAAAGAGCTTACTGTGGCATCATTTGTCTCCCGAAGCTTGTGTGTTAACGACAACAACTGTTCCACAGCAGCACTGGGCACATTTGGAATCTGTTTGAAAGAAAAACAGTATTAATCTTATTGCAGGATATGCGAGATCCATATACAGCTACATGCAGATGCTGTGAGTATTTAGTTGCTGCAGCCGCTTTATATGACCCTAAAAGGAATACAATTTTGACAATGAACATTTTTATATTACAGAATCATTTAATATCATGATAAGAAGCTAATTTATACCAATGCCATCGAGAGATAAGCAGGATTTGAAAAATAAGGAATTATTAATGCTACAGAGAAATATGGCCTGCAATAGTGAAATATTTTGTACACAGTAAATAATCACATTCAGAAAAAAATGTCTAAAATGAGGAATGTACATACCATTTCTTTAATAATTTGAATTTCTTCCTTCTTGCTTAAAGGTTGAACATTGTGAAAGAGAAAGAGCGTCAGGAACTCTGGGCCCAGCCACTGCTGGGTACTACTTCCAATGACGGGAGGTTCTGCCAGGACAACTATTCTGAACGAGGGGTGGATGGGGAAGATAGACCTGTAAGAAAACAAATTTTAAAATGCATTATGTGGCTTTAAGCAGTGGGTATCTAATTTGAATTTACATTAGTTGGAGACAGAATTGCATTATTGCACTAAGCCACAGCACTATGTTTATTGAGAACATTTGCAATTCAACCTTATAAAACTGACAAAACCTGTATAGTGTGACTTATAATTTTACTAACTGCAAACAGTTTCTATGCCTAGGAGGGCACCCAAGTCCCTCTTCATCGGAGATTTGACCTGCATGCCTCAAGTCGAGCACATAGCAGCAACAAAGCTGCTGTTGACTCTTTTTTGTCTGTCTGAAAGGGACACATCTCACTAATTTGATGGAATTTCGCAAGTTCTTCATCTACAGCACTGTCTAACAGGCAAATCGGGGAGGGAACAAGATCTACCAGAGCTGCAACAACAAGTAATTTCTTTTAGTCAATTAGATTGAGAGGAAGGATGATACTTCAATGAGATGGTAGCCTGGCTACCACCAAGAGATGGATTTATTTCCCAGTTACATTATCTGCAGCTTTTGGAAAATCAGCTAGACTTTTAGGGTGGGATTAACGCATCTAACTTTATAATATCTCTAAAAGTKATACTTCAAAGCCTAATGACCCACGAGTTATTTTAGAATCAGTGGGGAGAAATAAACCCCTCCAGTGGCAGATTAAGCTGGCTTACATTAACTTCARAAACACCCTCCTGGGTTCATCTATCTACCCCATCTAGCTAAACGTCTCTGATGGTGACAACTGGAGCTGTTATTTGGGACAGGCACATAAGTCTAGTTACTATCAGCAGCTCAGTCTCCTCACACTAACCCAGCAGCCAAAAATCTCTGTTCAAAGACAGAGAAGCACCTCCTCCTGTTTGCTTTCATACCTGTTTAGCCACAAGTTTATCTAATCCCTTTCTGCATTATCCGCCTCCACAATGTCCTGTGGGAACACGTTCTGGAAGTTCACTACCCCCAGTCTAAAAGGTCTTGTTTTCTCTTTTGCCTTTCTAACCTATATAAAACTCATTTGCTAGATTGAGGGAGTGCCCCTAGTTCTAACACTGGAGAATGTGGTGAATCCCAATATTTTAGATTTCTGCCTTTTTCATTCCACTGAATATAATGGGACACAGTGTGATGTACAACTTTTAGAGGCACAGATTAGGGCAGAAGGCCACTCTCTTGCTTTTGGATGGCAGCATGGTCCTAGTTTTTGACTGCCTTATGTAAGATTCCCAACCCTTTGAATTAGGAACATGTTGCTACTTGTTAACCAGCACATGGCCTTATCTACCGAAGTAACTAGCCAGTAGTAAATCAGATATTAAAGTGAGCCAAATTTTGCAAAGAGAGCCTGTTTCTGACAATTAAATTCTCAGTATTATTAAAATAGCAGGCATTAATTTGGGGAAAAAAAACACAAAAACAAGTGGAATTAGGTAGCTTATGTTTGTAGTTATGCCTGTTATCACTTGCCATTTTGCATATAATCAGCCCATTTGGAGGTAAGTATTCTTGGCAAAACGGACAGGGAAAGGATGGTATAAGCACGGAAGTCTGAAGAAAAAATATGATCCTTAAATATGAATCACCAGATCTACTGTGTAGTTGGCCGATTTGCTGGCTACAATAATAAAATTCTGATATAACAAAGTGAATAGAGCAAAAAGCCGCTTGCAGCAAGCACAGGGGGTGGCATCATTTACTCTCAGCTGAAAGTCATAAGCCTAGAAGCTACTCTGTGATTGATAAAAATAGAAGTAGATGTCTGAAAACATCACATGAACAAAGGACCAATGGAAACATCACTATCAGTAAGCATAAAAGAAGGTCAGGGAACATTAACCAACCTTATTCCCAAAGAAAATACTTCCTAGATAAAATAAATAAAATAAATTTCASACTCACCCTTTTCTCCATTACTAATAAGAAAAAACAGCTCCCTCCATTAATCAACCTATATTCCAGGGACTAATTTTGGTCCTTTTGCAATACTCCAAGCGGGACAAGAAGCAGTGACGTTTCCCTAGTAAAGGGAGCACATTCCTCTTGCATCGCCTCCCCATCCCTGCCTCACTCCCAGGCTCCGTGGGGACAGGGTGGGAAGGCATGGGAAGGAAAGCAGAAGCAAAGTCAGAGCATATTAAACAGCACTAACAGYTTAAGTTACTGACGTTCCCTTTGGACTTAAACTCATCACACCATTCCTCCCAAAGATTTTCTGTTTGTAAACATGAATAAAAATATTTGGTGACTTCAAAAGCCTATTGCTTGGACTGATGTTTGCAATGTTGGAAATGCTAAGCTACGTATCATTAGTATTAAAACCAACGTCACAAATGACTCAGTCCTCAGTTTCTGCATGGAGCTATGTTCAATAAAACAGAGATTTTTGATATCTTTTATTCTCTGCAGATGACGACCAAGTATGAATCATGTTAAAAACCTGGCACCTTTTAAATTATTGAGCCTCTCTTCCACAGTGGAAGAGAGTTGATGTTAGTTCATTAATACAGAAAGCCTTAATCTTTTTCTCTTAAATATTTACTAACAACATAGAAAATGGGTACCCACTGGCAAGTACCATCCATGTCCCTTCTTTGGACAACAGTGGTTAGTTCTGAAGAAGGAATTCCACCACCTTGCTTGAAACCAAGACCAGAACGCAGTTCATTCAGGGCAATTTTAAGGAAAGATCTCCTTATAATTGGCACACTGTCCTAATGAACTGAAGTCACTTCTAAAGAAGATGCAGAATAGCATTCCTAAGGCMATCTTGCAAAAGTAAACTATTTGTCTTGTCTCTTCTGGATACTCCATTTCCTGAATCTCATACCTTACTAACRTCAAAATAATTGTATGATTTGGGAATTTTTATAATAATAAGACCACAAAGGATCTATTCTAGTTTTTCTCTAATTTCATAATGTTCTAACACTAATAGGTTACTTTATCCAAAAAATCACAAAGCTGAAAATAGAAATGCAAAAATCAATAAAAGCTAGAAAGTACAACTAGTCAAAAATTTAGTCTATTGTAAATTCTATTTCCTACAAAATTCACTTCCTAACCCATTTCTTATTTTCCTCATCATCTGCTGTATGTTTTCCCTTTCAGCTTAGTCACATGGAAAATAATCCACTGTCTGCAAGGCATTAAGACTACGCAAGCATTACGAGCAACTCTTTTAGCTTTTGAACAATCCTGCTACATATATATGTCCAGATTTTCCTGAAATAGCTGATTTTCCGTTCACCACACCAAAGATTTCCTGTTTGTGAGGGGAGGGGAAACAATGCCAAAATATCCACTCAAGTACATCTTGTAAAAGCTGTATGTCACCTTTAGACTGCCTCAGTGAAATAATCAAGGATTACATTAAGAAATTCAGTGCAGAATTCTTGGATAACATGCACTGTCAATCAGTGATTGCATTTTGTGCTTTTTCCTTAATCTTCAATCATATTCAGAAAAATTAATCCTACAATTGTTAAATGATTAAAGAATCAGTAGATGTAATTTCCTTCTGGTTAAAAGATCTTTAGGGACTTCACTTTCTCTGGAGCATCTCTTCTTTTTTTTCTTCTCCCCAAATTTCATAAACAAAAGGACTGAGTTTCTTCAAATGACTGAATTCCATCGTACTGTGACTACTGCATCTTACTATGTATGTGACACTGTGACTATGCATCTTAACTGCATGGCCAGTATGGCCCAAGAAAGACTATAAGAAAAATGTTCAGTGTCAACTGCTAGTTACTGTGTCACTTTTAGGCTTTTACCAGGCCAAGGACTTTCCTATCATCTCTCCAGAGCAAACCTGCCGCTTGCAATGGTCCTTCCTGATAGAGCTATTGTACCCACCAATATAAAGTTCACAAGAACACTAGTAGATACTACAATGTGGAAAGGCAACGAAATATACAGTGAACCTCCATGGTAACACTTAGCATCATATAAAATAACATACTTTATTAGCTCTTAGATAGCTAATCAAACTTCTAAATGAAATTCCACTACATTTAAGAATAATAAGATTGTCCCTAACTTGCAAAACTTCAAAGCACTTCCCAGCACAGAATACTTCTCCCTTTGTCCAGTTTTGTTACTAACAGAGCAATGGTTTAATAGTGTGCACATTCTTTAGTATAACACTGTTTACATTCATGATACAGAGGCATGCAATTTTTTTAGATCATAGTGTGATCTGAAATACCAGTTTTTATTACAAAAGGCCAAAAAAAAGCCTCTTGATAAGTGTTTGAAGTTTTCTTTAAGTAGTACTCTAACACAAATTGTGAAAAAGCATTCCTGTGACTTTATGATGAAATATTTTAAATAGAAGTGACTACATGAAAGCTTAGTAATTTTTTTCTTGCTTTTATGAAGATGCATTTCCTAACACCTCTTTATGAATATCTCAATCTTCAGCTGTGTGAAAACCTGTAGACAAACTAAAAGAGGTTTTTTGTCCATTGGTTAGGATGAGTACTCATTTCTATGACAAATGAACAGGCTTTGTTTAATAGAAATTCAGTTGTAAAATACCATTCAGTAAGTTCATTCAAGTCTGCATAGTTTACTAAAATGCATTACATTTTTTTTTTATTTTCTCCATTAAGGAAAAGATACTTTTATTTATCTAATTTGCCTCCTCATAGTGAGTTTTGCATCCAAGGAATAGAGAGTAACAGTGAGATATTTTGAATTTTCTAAATGCTTGTAAGGAGTACCCAGAGAGACATCACAAACTACACTATGGTAAGTGATAACTAACATCAACAATGGTCTTGTCCAGCAAAGCTGCCCCCCAAAAGGATCAGTTTCTTTTTGCTCAGTGCAGGTATCCCATGTGGYTGGTTCCTCTTGTGAACAGTCGTTAGGCAGTTAGGTGTCAGTCCTGCTCAGTCTATTACAGGTGCCTTCCAGCCTCAAGCTATTGGTTTTTCCCAGATCCTGAAGACCATCTGCTCTCCTCATATCCTGATTTCTTAATGAAGCTTTTGACATCATTTCTTCAAATTCTGGTGCTTTAGAAATAATCCCTTTTCTCGATTTTTCTTTTATATTTACTTTTTTTTTAATTTCCTCTATGCTTTTTTTCAGTTCATTCCTGTTTTACTGCTCAGACATTGCAAACTGTCATTCACTTGCACTGTATCACTGGCACGCATCACTATCTGTTTTCATCTTATATATATTTGCTTTTAGCTGTATAATATACACATATTCTACGCATATTTGAAGTATGCATATGGGTTCCTATTATACAAATGAGAAAGGAAGCCTCAGCTCAGTGTGATTTGGGTGCAAAAAAAGAGTCAATTTCTCCCAGTTCAAGTGAAACTTGAAGCTATTTTTCACAGGGAACTTCCTTATTGGAAAGAAATTGGAGCAGTCTTAATGTGCACTCAGTGCACATCTCAGGTTCAATCTCAGCAGAACTGCCAGGACAGGATAGATTCTACAAGACAAATAAAGAGTAACGGTAGCAGAATTACTTTAATCAAATCCAGATCAGAAGAGGTAAACATCTTTTGTGTCCTGCCCTACCATCAGAAGCACAGCTGAGGCCACTAGTCACAGCCACAGACACACAGCAAGACAGACAATATTTCTCACTGATATGAAAAGCATCTCCCAAACATGATTTAGAGACAAGCATTTGCTCAGCAAATCTACTATTAAATTCAAATTACAGGGTATTCTGCTGACCCCTCCTCAAACCCCTCTCCTGCAGACCAGGAAGGGTGGTTGGCACCGTCATGTTTCCTTAGACTGGGATTAAATCTGCCACTAGTAGCCAGACCTCATTCCAGCAGGAGGTGTCTGCAGGGAAAGGCTGCTCCCRCACAGCTGTTCTGTGACACCAAAAAATACCCGAGCTTGTAGTGACAGGTAACTGCTGCTGCAAAGGACAAGTAGCAGGAGGGATTGCAGGACAGAAGTGACAAAGCATCTGCTGGCATCCTGTCCTGCAGCCACGGGAAGGCAAAGATGGTTTGAGAATATGTAACGGGTTGAACACAGCGAGGTCCTGAAAGGCCTTCAAGTTGCCAAGGGCTGACTAGAAGAGAATGAGAACTGCCCAGGGCACTGAGGAGAGCTCCACTGATGCTGCAGGAGACAGCAGCCAAAAGCAAGAGGTTGATACAGGTTTATACAGGTTTATACCACTTCATCTTGGTTTCTATTGAATGAGCACATTCAGGAGAGAGCTGAACAAGACTTCACCCAGAACACGTACATAATACTGAGCTTCTCAGCACAGTGGACTCTGGTTTATTCATTGCCATGAATTTTCATCTGTAAACAGATGGTGCTAAATGGTCATTCTTGACTGCTACGTGGTCATGTTAATCTTTCAGATGCAAGAATCCCTTCATAGGGTTTTTATCTCGTTTTCCTTTGTTTTTGTTTTGTTTTCAGATCAAGTAGGATGTATGCACTCCAATAAAGAACAAGTGCCCGTTCAAGATAAGAGATACCCCTCATTTATAGACCTGAAGGTACGAGACAGTTCTCAAGTCCACAAGGTGAAGAAGTTCTCTTCAGTGAAGCCACCAAGTACTTTCAGTCACAAACACTGAACTGGATGACAACCCAGTAACATGCAACTGAGGCAAGTGAAGGGAAACCACTGCAGAGCAGCACTTCACCTCAACGGGGCAGCTGAGAAAAATTGCTGTGTCAAAAAGTCAAGGTCTTTCCCCTTGTTTTAAAAGGAGAGAAACAAGTGAGTGACAAGGTGCAGACACACAACGTGATGCCACATGGAGGCTTAACTTGAAGGCTAAWAATGGGTTCCTTAAGCACAGACTTGAGCTGAAAAAATCAGCTATGGGCTCTGCTGCAAACTGATTCTGCTGCTTTCTGCTGCCATAACGAAAAAGGTTAGGAAAAGAGAGAGATGTGAAGCTCTAATCTTATGAGAGAGATTTGACACTTGAAAAGGGGCAGCACTGAAGATGAATGTCTGATCAACTGCTGAGATGGTGGTATGAGCCAAACGGCACCTTGCAGTTAGCAAAACAGCAGAGACACCACCATTCTGCCTGACAGCACCTGGGGCAAGACCACGCACGGTGGCAGCAGGAAGGAGAAGAGCTGCTAGAGTCACTGGATCTATTTTTAAGTACAAAGACCAATGCAAAATTGGACTCCAAGATGGAGCCTTGGAGCCCTTCAGTGTCTGGGCTTAAAATCATGGCAAWCAGAACACTATAAAACAAACACAGGGCAGGCCCATCTAGCTGGGTATACGGCCTCAAGAGGCTGGAACAATTTGCAACAGCAGGTTTAGATTACAGCATACATACAGAATCTAAAATAATGCTACAGAAGACTTAAAATACAGTTCTTAGAAATGCAATATTAAAGGGAATAGGAAATTACAAAATAATCACTTTTTTAATTAAAAAAACAGCTTTTCTAAAGGGCTTTTATTTTTTCTAAAGCAAAACAGAAAAAAAATCTGATTCAGCAGGATGTATTTAGAGAAGGAGATGTCAAGAGGTAGACATCACGACGGTCCCTTTGTCAATACTCATACGACTCAAACGCATCTTGAAAGCAGGGGCATCTGCTCATCCCCCACTGTAACTGTGAATCCAGCCATCAGAAACAAAACTTGGACTGTTTATTCAGGGATTAAAGCCACTTAAAAATTACACTAGGTTCAGCTCCTGATAGATGACTTATTCCATGCATAACTGAATCTTAAGATTGTACTTTACTTGGGATATAATCAACCAAATCCTTCACATTAATTGAAATTGGTCAGCAGCATTTGACAGCATATCGAGTATGACCATCAGAGGACTAGAAAATGTTCCTATATGTGGAATGTTTCTAGCAGATAAGTAGAAGTGAAGAAACAAAAAGAATAAGCATTATGGGTCCCAACCCATCCCTAGGATTTCCTGCCCAATACTAGTTGTAAATTAAGTACCAGCTTTCTAGTTAATGAGGCAAAAGAAAGTAACAAATTATATCTCAATTTAATTTAGTTCAATTTTGAGGTGCTCCTAGTAAAATATTCCAAAATTAAATATTATATACTTTTATATGCAGGTTTTTGTGTACTTACAATTTCTTTTCAACTTCTAACTGCTACTGCCAAAGGATATTAAATGTTTTTCTTTTAGTTTGGGCATTCTAAACAGGATATAATTTTCTCATGCCACAAAAGGAAAAAAGTTCATGAGGAAATTGACTTTTAAAACATGTTCTCCTAGTTATTAAAAGGTATCAGCTTAAAAGGAAAGCATTTTGCAAGATGTTTTGTAATAAAAAAGGAGATTAAACTCTTTACAGGATGAAATAACATTGACATTCAGTATTTCAGTATATAAATACAAAAGTATATAATAATAATCTGTAACTAAGACATTACCTTTCCTGTAGCTTCTCATCAGAGACTTGTAATTCTTCTTTTAAGTTTTGATATCTATCTTCCCTTAACAACCTGGTGCCATCATAGAGAGTCAGTTCTCTGTCATGAATTAGCCTGTAGGGGAGAAGAAAAAAAGAAAAAAGTAAACTTTACCTAGCCTTTAGATGCTTCTTAAAATACTATTTCACCTACCACTTCTTTAATTAACTATCTCAGTGAAAACGTAGGTTACTGTAACACACTCAAAGAAAAAGCTATGCTAATTTAAGATGCACCTGCATATGGAAATAAAAGAATCTCAAAAAGCAAAGAGCCTCAGTGGAAAGGCAGTAGTCAGTCAGTTGGTTTAAACAGACATGATTAGAAAAAGAAAATTTTCCATCTTACCAGGCTCAAAACACRGCCATTTTGTCTGAGAGTTCTGTAATTTTTTGTTTCTTGAAGAAACATATTTAATTTGGTTTAAATGCTAACATACATAGGAATCCAGCTTTTATTTTTTCACACAGACCTTGAGTCTGTGTCTAGAGACGTGATATGACACATGATGTTGAAAGAAAAATCAGAAGGAAAAACTAAACTGATTAAGAGRAGAAAAACAGGAATGAATCATTCTCTCCTCTGTCTCTGTGCATGTCTGCAATAAAAGCAATAGTCACAAAATGCTTTAGTAAGAGGCTGCTTTTAAAGCTGGTGATTTCTTTACGTTTAAGAAAGATAATGTAAGCAACTGAAATAGCATAAAAATTTGACCTGACAGTATGGATATAGTTATTATTGTTATTAACACAGTATCTGCTACTAGCATTTGTGTCTCCAGAAAGCTTTTTATTTTCATTGAATTCAATTTAATATATTCAAATTGCATTTTATTTATGCATTTATATATATCATTATATATTTATACACTTATTTTACTAAAATGTATTGAATTTATTGAAATAAAGTTTATAAAGCATATGAAATATGCTTTTATATATGACTGTAATGATCACATGCTTTATTTAGAAGAATTCATTCGAAGTATTGAACACATTTTGTGACAGATCTGTCATTTCAAATCACTGTGCACCTATCACTCATCTTTAGGTTTCAGGAGTTTAGTATGGGCAAAATCTGACTTATTTGTCAATTCTAAGAACATATGTCATATTCACAAACATCTGAAATGTCTAATATAGTACAGATTTATACAGAACATGAAAGAATTGCTTCTGCTTTCAAGTATGCAAAGGCTGAGCGTTACATACTCGGTAAAACATCAATGCTGACATTGATTTTTACAGTACTCTTGAAGTTATAAAGCTGCCTTCAATAGATGAAACTTAATTTCCCAGGATGTATGTGCTCAGCGAACACATCCCGTGCGCCCAACTTATCTGTGTTCAAGTCCTGACCTTTGCAGCACAGCCAGGGTGCCCGGGTTGATTCGGTGAATGCCATCAAGAATAACAAGCTTTCCTTCCAGGGCGGCCGTGACGAGCGGCGAGGGTCTCCAAGCAGTGTCTCCATTAGGAAGGGTGTACCTTTGCTGCAGCAAATCTCTAGCAGTCATGTCCTGCAAGTACCAATTCATCAGAAAAAAATAGATTTGTGCAGTTCATTAGACATCTACAAGTGCTTATTTYCTTCTTCAAAGATGCTTTTGTTTTTTCCTGAGACTATACCCAAGGCACATCAGCAGGAAATCTTAAATTACTTTTCCCAAGAATACTAGAAATAAACACCAACACACATACAATATTGAATAATCTCTGATAGGTCTAGACTTGTTAATATTGCTTTTTTGAAACTAGAATAAAATCCTCTCTATTTTTCCTAAATGTAAGGCAAATATATGACAACTTGTACGCAGCTTTGTGTACAGAAGGGGGCAGCAATTTACACCTGTAATAAACAAGTGTCACTCATTTGATACAGATTGAAGCTGAAAAAGCCAAGATTTTGTCATTAATCTTCAAGTGASTTCTTAACACACACACAAAAAAGCATGACATTGTAATTCTCAAAAAGAAAAGGCAGTGGAAATATCATAGAAGAAAGGACAGAGTAAGAAAGGAGTCAACAAAAAGACACAAAAAAATCCACTCTAGCAAAATCACAAATAAGGAGTGATCACAAATTAATAAAGATCACAAATTAATACTTCAAGGTTAACCAAAAGCTAAGGCTGGCATCTCCTCCTCATACATATTTCAGGAGTTCCATTACAGCAGGTACAGAATACAACAAAGAAAGCCTTAAAAGCCATTTTGTGACCTAAAAGTCAAAATTCCTTCCTCAGGTTGTGCTGTAAAAGGAATTTAACCTAAAATCAGATGAGAGAAATATTTTGTGTTTCAGTCGCAACTTTTACAGGCGTCCCTTCTACGACTGAAACCCCTTTGAACTTTAAAGAATAAAAATAGAATACATTACGTCACGCAGCCTGAATCATTTCCTCTTTCTACATTTCCTTAAAAGCCTTAAAATAACAGGACAAAGTCTGGTTCCTTAGATGCTTCCACATTTGTATAACTTAAAGCCTCACATTCAGATCCATAAAAACAGCGCACGATTTTTACTGTTGGGCTTTTAGATTTGAATGCTGTTTGCTCTTTTCTAGAATTTTTGAATTAGGTTAAAAACAAACTGAAATATATATATACACACACACATTTTAATCAAAGCCAGGGAAAAAATGAAAGTATTTTTATGGTTTGTGTAAAAAGTTGCAAAAAGTGCAGTCTCTTATAAGTATATGCTGCAGAACACAATATACAACTAAAACGCCATCTCATGAGACATTTCTACAAGGGTGAAACAGTGTCTAATATTAACTGACCAGGAGTTCAGTGTGCTACATATCATGTTTTCTACCTGCAAAACCACCAGTGAGGAATCKTAAGTATCCTATATGGAGATAAAATTAGAAGTACACTTGTCCGCAAAAGATTTTTSAAAATACAAAATGAAAGTTTATTCCATCATTCAGATTTTTGAGTCAGATTCTATTCAGTGCATATTAAAAAGAAATATCATTCACTAACACTTGTCCAGGCTCTGTAAGGSGCTTTTTTCAAGGCTGAGCTCTTGTCCAGTGTTTTACTGTTTTACATTTCTATTCAGTTTTAAATTTATRTATTATGCGATACTCTCCATGCTAAAAATCCCTCCCTTCAAAAATGAAGATTTATGTTTTCAAGATTTAAATGTAGATCACATTTGGAGATGTAAATGGAGATGGATATTTCTTAAGACACAAAATGCTTCATCTACAAATCACTGTGCTCTAAGTGTATGACATTGATTAACATTTACTTATTAAAATATCTTTGATATGAAGAAAAAAATGGGAGAGAGCATAAAATCTAATACAAAGCAAGTTTTAAAATTAAAAATCTTCAGATAAGTCGCACAAAGTTCAGGRGAGAAAACAAGAAGTTTGCACCGAACGCCCTTTAGCAGCTATAGCAATAAAAGCCTCCAAATTAGCCATTTTTTCATGACTCTCCCAGWGATAATCATGTTCTTGGCAATTACAAGGTGAAGAAATCTGTTTCCTGCTTTTTGTGCCAATTTGGACTCACATTTCGTTAATGTTTCTCAAATAAAAAATAGGAAGGAATTTGTAAAGAAAAAATCATGAGGTCATGCATAAAAAAGAAAAAAAAAAAGGAAATCCTAGAAACAAACATCACCCTACACAAACATTAGCGAAGTACTTCACATTATTTTTGTTGGAGACAGAAAGGAAGGAGGACGAAAGTGTTGGAAAAATGCTAAAATATCAGTATAAAAATACTATTCCTTCTCCCCCACTCTGCTCCCTGCTAAAGTGCTTTCTTTTAAACTTTTAAACARAAAGTTCTCAAATTGCAATGCACAAAGAGCAGGCTTGTTGCTGCTTCTTGTTTGCCACTGCCTTCCTACATTAGGGGATATCTGCAATTAATCTTTCCCCAAATGACTTTCTTTGGTCAACAATTTGCCTACATAGATTTTTCCTTAATCAAAAATCAAAATAACGATGTAGAAGATCACAAATAAGCCAGCAATTGTTCTACGGGACAATTTCTACTAAATCTAAGTGCAGAAAGTTTGTCAAACCCTGGTTTAGATATAGCGTGAGGTAAGGATCAGATTTAAAATGCATGTAGCAAACCATGCATTTCACATGTATGCAACCAGTTTGTATTTGTCTTCTTCTGATAACTTTTGAGATTATACAGAACATTGCAAATAGGAAATTTGTATAGGTAGAAATATGTTTAAATGTTTAATTTTATATAGAGATGTGTTTGTACTCCTGAGTCTATACTCAAGAATGATCTCACAAGCAGGTATTTGTTTGCCTTCACAAACCTGTGAAGTATCACAAAAAAAGAAAAAAAAAAAGGAAAAAAAAAGAAAAAAAAAGAGAGAAATTTCTCTGTAAAAACACTCTGCCCCTTTGAACTTCATGAAATCCTGGCAAAACCAAAGGAAAGGTTCACTGCAGTGGGAACTAGTTCAAGCCCTTGGCCTAGATTTTATTTCTGGAGGTATTACAGATCCTTCTGAAAGAAAAACACTTTTTGTGTTAACCAGCCCCCTCGTGTCTGATAAGGGGTAACCTTCAGATCCTGTTCAGCAAAGCTCTAGGCTCTCCTAGCTTCAAGGTAGGACCCTGAAAAACACTGGCCACCTTTTTAAGTTTCCAGTCCCCAACAACTGTTGGTGTGTGGTGATGAGTACCCAATACCAGCCTGTATACGACAAAACAAGACKCAGGCTGGGTATGTCCTTAAGTGGGTTTGCCAAGTTACAAAAGTTACCTTCCTTGGAGGATTTCAAATATGCCTGCATGGACAAGTGATGGAARGAGTATGGAAGAGGGCTGGACATACTCAGTCCTGGCTCAGTTCATATCGGGCCAGCTTAGAGCATGGGAGAAGAGCTCTCATCTCTGGGACTATCCACGTAGACATATACTCAGGGTCTGTGACTTCATTAATTAAAGGCATCTTGAGGGACGGAAAAGCAGTAGGAACTTGTCTGGGGAGGTTCTGAGATATACAGAAAACAGACTGTGTCTTCTTCCATTAGCACTATTTCTTTTTTTCATTTTCTCTCGTTTTTTTGTCTCTTTCAAATTCAAGTGCATCCAGATCCCAAACTGACATTACCATCCAAACAAGCAGGAAGCCACTACTGGCTGTGGAAGATCACATTTAAGCATTCCTGCAACTGGTCTTTGCAAACCAAAAAAGAAAATCTAAAGAATTTCCCAAATAAAAGAAAAAAAAACCCAGCCTCACGGCATCCTCACAGCTCCATGTTTATTGTTATTTACAGTCTGTGAAAAATGGAAGCTCCAAAATGGCTCATTCTCTTCCTATCCTGTATGTTCAAACCTTTTGGATTCACTCCACTTCCTCTGTCTTACTTTTCATTAACCCAGACTTTACTATCAGCTCTATCAAAGCATTCACTCTGTCACAATCTTTTCAATTACTATAAACTTCCTCCTCCAACTTCCTAAAAATGCATGCCAAGATCCTTGCCACTCCCTTCGAAGCCCTCGAGACCCTTCTGACTTCTCCAGTTCTCCCTTCTTCTCATCTTTACCCTGTGACTGTCATTCTAAGGCAACAAAGGCAACTGCTTGTCTTATAAAAAATAATTACGAACATTCTTCCCCAAAATCTATCTTTAAAGTCACGTTTACATTAAGACCCTATATTGTAACATCAGTAAATCAGTAACAACTAGACGAGGTACTGAAGATCACTGTCTGCTTCTATAGGACCTTCAAATAATCTATTGTATTAATATATATTATTGCAACACAGCTATGTCACACCCAAAACCATCGGTAAAAACAGAAGCAAAGAAAAAAGTACAGTATAAGCAAAGTATACAGAAGTATAAGTATGCAGAAGTATAAGAAAAGTACACAGAAAAGTATAAGCAAAGAAAAAGTACAGAAATAACTTTCTTTTTAAAATTATTTATGTTAGGCATCATAAAAATACAAATATGTAAGAGGATATTAGGAGATCTTGATAGCAGAAAAAGAACAAATAAAAAAAAAAAGGTAAAAGAAGAGAAGGATTAAGTCTATGGAACATAAAAAATAACTTTAAAATATCCCCACCAACATAAAAGTCATTTTGCATTCTCAATACAATAAAGAAATTGCCTTCAAGAATAATAAAATATAATGCAGATAATGGAGAATTCCATTATAAAATTACACAGCATATGGACAAACAAAACAAGGAAGGAGAAAAGGTCTTCCAGGGCCATTCACCATGCAAGCACAAGTAGCCACCACTCTGACCTAAGGCAGGAAACATACTTCAAAAGGGAAAAAATGCAAAGAGAAGACAAAAGGGACAAAAARTGCCATAAAGTTTTCTTTATGACACTCAACCATGCTGAATCACAGCACAAGTTGTCAATTCTTCTCAGCTAGGAGAAAAATTGTGCCTTTAAATGATTCTCCGTACATTTTTATTTATGTAAAATTTCTATCTTTCTTTTGCTTTCATCCTGAAGTCAATGCAATGGAAGCATAACAGTAGCAGAGCTAAAGAATACGTACAAACAGCATACTACCTATACTGCTTTGGCTGCCATAGTACCTAATCAGTACCTAATTCGCAAATCAGCGAAGATTTTAGACAAACATTATAAAAAGGAGAGCAAAAAGTGTCCTATAAGAAGAAGAAAACTTTGCTATCTTCCAAATCCTCGCTGCCCTTTGTTTTTTTTATCCTGTATCAGTGATTTTGAAGGCTGGGGTTGTAAATGAAGACTCCATCTTACAAAGAGAATCTACCTCTGTGTGTTATATTTTGGACAATGTTAAATGGAAATAGCATGTATTAAGAGCATCAGCAAATAGTTTACTTACCTGATATAACATGATAGGTTCTATGCTGTATCCTAGTATATCTGCAAACTCCTTAGCAATAACCGTTTTGCCACAGCCCTAAAAAGATTTAAAAAATAAGAACTAGATTATATTCTAGGAAATGAGAAATAAGGGACAAAGGGAATTTTAATTCTTACTTTTCCTCCAATTAAACACATATCTTTAACCATATGGGATTGCATCATTTCTGCCAACAGCTGATCATGGCTGGGAGTCCTTATGAAAGAATCTGATCCAGAAAGTTTTAATTGTCCAGTCCCAGCTGGAACCTACGGAGAAGAAATAAAATAAAATGTTAAATGAACTAYGCATCAATAGCTTTAGAGTTCATGTGGACTGGGTTACACTGCACCAAAAATATTGTAATAGTTTGCTGCTAACTCTCATCTACACCTTTCACTGTAAAAATTAACATTGTGAAATTTGCAATAGATCCAACTTCCTTCACCCTTGCATTGTTGACTTTACTGAAAAAATAAGGAAACAAGTCAATTCAAAAACAGTCTTGGGGTCTACAAGGACCTTGAGGCCTATGATGTTAGGCACAAAACATAGAAGTTGCCAATGTAATTCCTTATTGCTCATCAAAGAAATAAGAAGAGAAGGAGCAATCTGTATTAGGAAAACTTGAAGGGAGTATTTTGGTTGGAGCTTTGGAAAGCAGCAATATTCAGTTGTCCTCCACATGAAGACACTTGCTCTACTCCACGTCATAGTTTTAGTCTGAAAATTGTTTCATCTGCAAACTCCTCGTGTTCCCCAAAACACATATTCTGCAGACAAGCTTTCAGCAGATACCACCTCCATACAGGTCAARCGAAAGCAAAAATCTTCTCTTCAGTAGACTCTCATCAACTCCTTAGAGATTCACSACTAGAAATATCATCTCTGACTCCCATCAGTTCAGCTCCTTTACAGAGACTCTACAGCCTCTTCAAATGAAGCTTTCACATCAAGTTCTCAGATCAGCATCATTACATTTTATTTGAGGTGTAGACAAAGATGGACTTTTGCTTTTATTAAAAGAAAAACAGAAAGCAGCACCAACAGCATCACGTATACTCTGTATAATGCCAATGCAACCAAAAACAATCTAGAAATTTCCTTTTATCTGTTCTTCAGCACTTGTTTTAATACAAGTACAACTACAACAAGTACAACTACAATACAACTTAAATAAATAAAAGGTAGAAAAGTATTATTCAAAGACAAAATCTTGTTTAAACATAATCCAATACTATAATAATTAAATCATCTATTAATAAATATTACATTAAGCTACCAAAAGTTAAATATTCACTTGATGCACTTGATATTCTAACTCATTTGTAAGTGTCAAATTCCAGATGAGATGGAACTACATTAAAGGTAACTAAAATACATAGCTTTAAGAATATATGATTTAATACCTGGAAAAAAACTTCTTTTTCACCAATCTGGACAGCTACATCAGCCTTGAAGGTGTTACTTCCGTGCACACTTTCTACTTTGGTAATCCTTCTGGGAACCAAATGGCTTTTTGAATCCTGGAGCTCAAAACGCTGTAGAATTAAGGGAGAGGGGCAAGAGGTGAGGAATTAATTATTAAAAACAGCTTTCTGTTTTTTAAAAGTGTTCCTCCTAAAAACGCAGCCAGAAGCATATTCAAGGTGAATTTCTTGTGAAGTCCTAAATCCATTTACTTTAAGAGCCTTATTATTAGAACAGTCAAAGTCTTTATTTGTTCATTATTCAGTGAAGAACCTGCTGCTTATCTCTACTGAAAACTAATTCAGRTAGGTCTTAAACAATATCAGGAATATTGGAAATCAAGAATTCACATACTTTTKTTCAAATTTTTAATGGTGCAAATATATAATGCTCCCATTAAATCTGACCATAGTGATAGACAAAAATAAAAAAACAACCTATCATGATTTTGCCAAGTCTGCAGATGACAGACTTAAACAGTAACAGAAATGGATGGTAACTTTTAACATCATCCATCTTTGAAGGCCAATATAATAATTTAGATTTAAATTTCTGGCTACCAATAAAATTAAGCATAAAATATTATGTTTACTTAACTTCACAGCCTTATCATACAATGAAAATTGAGGACAGCTTGTACAAATTAACCCATCAATATTTCTGGATATAACAAGGACAAGAAACTGGCCACCTGTCTTTCCAGACCTCTTTTAAATACTATATTCTTTACATACAGCATCTTTCTTTGATGCTGTGCATAGAAAGCACAAAATATATTTTTAAAACCTGTAAAGATCTGTTTTATTGAGGAGGTAAACTTGCTACAAAATCAGAGACTTTATACATGAAGAAGTCACTGAAAATACAGGATTCAACAGAATAAAAATCAAATAAACAAGAAAAATGGAACATTAGTCAAACTCTTTAGAATTCTTTGAAAAAATAATAGAAGTCATTAAAGCATATATATTTTTAAATGTTGTTTTATTACTACTAAGGTTCATAGGCCTGCCTATTAAGTTTCAGAAAAACTACTCAAAAGCAYTCATACAACACTGTGGCTCTTCATCACTCTTATAAATTTATATTCTGGAATAAGTACTTACAAAAAATCCATGTTTAAAGACGAATTTCAGCTAAATGTACTTTAGTAAAAGAAGATGTTTGGAATTATATTTAATTATATTATTATATTAATGTAGCAGCTGAGACACCTACTTCAGACACCATTAAAGGTCTGAACAACAGCAGACAGGAAGGCAAAACAAGCAGTATTCTTAGAAATGCTCAAACTACAATTCTAAGAAATTAGATGCTCTCAAATCTTATATTCATTAGTAAGATGTAATATTCTAACTAAATTAATGRATTTTTGGATGGAGTCAAATCTGCTTACAAGCAAAACTCTAAAATCTCATATTCAGATACCGAGGAAGATAACTGTAAGTATGCAAGCAGATTTTATTTGTAACAACAGTCTCTGCCGTTTATTTAAAAATAAAGATTTTGAACAGGTCTTGGGCACAGAGGCGGGAGTATCTTGGAAGCCTAAGATTTCATTGGGTGGATTTTGGTTATTGTTGAAGATCCTACACCTGGCCTTTTAGACAMCAAATGAAGACGAAAAGAGTATCTCTGTGCAGATCCTCACTGAATTTGTACAATAAACTCGATTAATCTCCTGTTAGGAAGGAGATACTGCTGGGCTGGACAGCTTAGTATTAAAATAAGTTACTATACTTACTCTTAAACAGCAGCAAGCAAAATAACTCTTTGTGGCTTTTGAAATGGGACTTTCTTGTTCTACACCCAGTTCTACATTCACAACTAGCTAGATATGGAATCACAGAGTGKCATGAAATGGATGTACAATCCATTATATTCTCCCTGAGCCAAAACTTTCTCTACACAAAATCCACAATGACAGCTGCAAAGGAAAAAAAAAAAAAAAAACAAACTTGTGGTTTAGAAGAACAAGTACTGACTAGGTTAAATATCAGGAAGTTTGGGAGATGCTTGGACAGCCAGATAAGAGCAGCTTCATCGCCTCAGACTCAAGAGGAAAGCAAAGACCAGCCACCAAAACAAGATAGGAGGTTTGGCACTTCATAATCACCAGGCCACATTCTGCACATCTAGAAGCACGTGACTAACAGTAAAATATCAGCAAAAAAAAGGGGGGTTCTGTGCAGTGAGAAGTATCTAATGATCAGCAATATCTTCTCATGTAAACGGCAAAGAATCCTCTGGTGATCCAAGGAGGTCAAAGGAACAGAGAGCTCAAATGAGACATTTTTGTAGATAGCTGCTTGAGCCCACAAGACAGCTCATCTAGTCAAAACGATTTCTGCAGGCATCCAAAGACAACTGATCTTGTTTAATATTCTCTGCAAGGGAAGGAAAGAGAATTTTGCAAGGAACAAGAGGACTGGAGCAAAACATGAAGTGCAAGTACAAGACTGGATAAACAGAAGAAGCCTGAAGAACAGATTCCACTGTGATGGCATGTACTGGCACGAAAAGCATTGACTAATGCAAACCCCCAAGGATTATATATAAAAAAAAAAACCCTTTAGAGAAAAAAAAAGAAAAAGAGAAAAATCCTTTCTTAGACTACAATTTGGTGTATAAAGATGTCAAAAAAAAGTGAATAAAACTGTCTAGATAAGAAAGATGATTCCAGTTTTCTGAATAGAATGAAACTCCAAACAAAAATATATGTACTTGGTGACATAAAGGGAACTAGTTTATGTAAGAGGAGGAACAATGAGAAAGAGTATGGAAAAAGGCAAAAGAGAAAAATATTTATAAAAAACAGGAAGTCACAAACTCGATAATCATTGAAAAAGAAGGTTCTACCAGTCATATCAATCTACACAGAACCTCACACAGGAAGCAAATGCACTCACAACATACAAAACCTAATATAAGAAACGCAAAGTAGAGGAAACTAATGAGATTGAATGTGAAGACATACACTATACATAACTGATATGAGAACCAAAATGCCATAAGGGCTTTAAAGGCAAAAAGGCAGGAAATGGGAGATGGGCACAGGGACAGGCTACCAACATTTCCTGGCATATAGGGTTGACTTTAGGAAGACCAAAGTTCCACCTCTGTACCCAGCAGGTACTTCTCACACTGCTGGAAAAGCTGGGCAAGATGCTCAGGGTTACAATGGTAATTTTCAGCAACTTTTACAATATATTCAAATACGAAAGAAAGCTAATATTGTGCTCAAGTTTTAAAGGATAAACAGAATAATATAATTGCAAATTTGATACACTATTAATAAACCTAAAAAAACCCCAAGCAGATAATGAAGCAACAGAAAAACAAGAAAATGCTAAAGTTTTCTCTAAAATGCTCTAAAAAAAAAGGCAGGCTACTACGATGTATGGAGCATGCTACACTGAATGTATTTCATGTTATCTGACCTCAGATAGAGTTCATCAACTACTTATGTCATAAAGGTCTTTAAACTCTTCTTCAACTGAGGTCTAAATATTCTACAGAACATAAAGCTCTGCCCTTTCATGGTAATGAAATCTCTCAGCTTATTAAGATTTTTGTAAAATCCTGTTTTAATATCGGCAACAATGTAAGTACTTAAAYTATTTTTTTTTCTAATCTGAAATAATGAAGTTATTTAGTATATTAATGAAGTTATACTAGTTAAGACAACTATATTCAAAACCCACTTCTCACTGGAATCATAATGCACAATACTTACTTTTAATGCATCTTTGACTGCAGTCCTGCCTTCCTTTCCAAGAAAAATATTATAGGGGTAAAGCCAGCCAATAACATGCTGGACTGACATCATAGGAAAGGCATCCTAAATCAAAATAAAAACACAAATAACAGTTTAAAAAAGCCCCATTCTTCAGCTATTACCCTGAAAATCATAATATAATGGCAATATATAAATCACAACTACATCCAGTTGCTGTTCAAACCTCAAGGAAAAAGGCATTTCTCAGGTACAGTTCCTTCTAATGTACATGTCTATAGCAGGTCAGGTGAGCTGCATCCTAAAGGTGACTCACTCTCCTGTGCATAAAGGGAATCTAAAATAATTGGCCCAGCTACCTGAAGACCTCAAAACTTMGAAGAGAGGGATCCCACCACAGATAAACTGAATTTCACAGTACTAGTAAAAATAAATTATATAATAATAAAACTCACTCAGTCAATTTCTACAAATTTCTGAGTAGTTTGATCAAAATTSTTTTGCTTCGAAACATTATGTGGTAGGCTTGAACTTTTCTATGCATAGCTGGAAATATATAATTCTTTTTATATCTGCCTGGTAACTGAAGTGGCAGTTCTCTTGGCATTACTGCCTGAATGAGACATGGATTCCACTTTAYACTGATTCCACTGGGTAACAGAGCCCTGGCACAGGCTGCCCAGGGAGGCTGTGGAGTCTCCTTCTCTGGAGATCTCCCAAACCCGCCTGGATGCCGCCCCTGTGCCCCTGGGTGTCCCTGCTGGAGCAGGRGGGTTGGACTAGATGATCTCTAGAGGTCCCTTCCAACCTCAACCAGTCTGTGATTCTGTGCTTACCACAATATTAGAAAGAATGGATGTACCATCCATGAATCGATGAATATGGCAGAAATATTACATGTCTAAACCCTTTTCCATAGGGAAAAAATATGCCAAAAATCATAAGATCATGCTCAATTTCTTGTTTTAGAAAAAAGAAATATTAATGACTAAATTGTGTGTAATGCTATTGAAAAACAACTAATCAGTGCGTGGGTACTAYTTAAGATTTCACCAAAGCAAGTATTATATGATATTTTTATCATATAATCCAAATAAACCCAACAAATTTACATTAAAAAGAAACTTTACACAGAGTTTACACAGAAACTCAACTGAAAAAAAGGAGTTGGTGAGAAATTAAATCAGGAGATACATATTTTATGAAATGCATAATTCAATTCGCACTTGCAATCAGGAATACTATTTATAATGTTCCATTTAAAGAATCATCAGTAAAAATAACCCATTTAAGGGCATTCTAGTCAATGGACTGCCTAAGGGATCAGAGAGACCTTTATTGCATTTTAAAAAATCTCTGTCTATACATAAAGACAAAACATATAATTTGTCTATATTATCTCAAATGGTAATTATAATGATATATCTAAAAATAGCCTCTTTTTAGAACAACTCTCCAGAAAAAAAGAATCTCTTTCAGGAGGAAGGTGTTTTCAATCTAAAAAAAAAGTATATAAACRAAGCATTCTGGAACAGTGTGAATCTGTAATGGAAGACAAGGAGAAAGTCATTGCTATTTCCTTTTCCATACTCCTAAATGGCTAAATCATCTTAGCTCAATTAAAGGATAGCAATGACCCAGCACGTGAAGAAAAAATGCTTAAACTAGAATGAATGAGAAAGACCAGTTTAGAAAACTGAGAGATTAAAACTAATTCTAAAAGAAACAGTCCTGGTCTATATATAAAAGACACAGTCAAAGAAAGATAACACTTTACATTGTCTAATATAAAATAAAATCCTTCCTTCATTCCATAGTTTAGATAATAGCTTAGGGCTCATTTTATTTCCATTACTCTAAAAGCCATCTGGCATTCATTTAAAAATAATTTTTCACTCTAGGCCTCAAAGAATAAAAAGTTGCAATTTATTTTAAAATCCAACATGAATTTCTTTCTAAAGCCCTTCAAATACTGTTTCTTTTCTCTACACTTGAATTTCAAGCACTTCATAGCATCTGACGCAGCAAAGCTGGGTGAGACAAAAGATCTGCCTGTAAAGTGTTGGGCACAATGGCTTTCTAGAGCACAACTGGGGGATAAAACAAAACAGTAAAACAAGTAATGAATGTGTTTCAATGTGTGCAATCCAGTAAAATATGTAGGATATGTAGGAGCAATCTGCAAATGAGTAGTACTGCAAGGAAAATGCTTGCAGGGGAGATAAAAGAACTGCCCTACAAGCCCTTTTGCAGACACCTTGGAGAGGGGGTTCAGAAGAAGCAGTTCTAATATTTTACTCTCCTGGGTTGACTGCCTCTTCCCACTTGTAAAAGGATATCTAGCTCATCTCCCTTCTTACAAATATCATCAACTCACTGACTTCTTTCAGGAGGCACCTTCTTTCTTTACTTTGACTTTTTACCAAGTAATTGCAAAGAATGAGGGGTAAAAGGCTGCCAGTGAAAGCAGAAACACTGTCATGGCAATAGACCTGGCCTGCCATCGTGAACCTACCACACAGTTGTTGTATTTCCCTATGGACTGCAGCTGTCAGGAAGAAAAGTATCCATGACCTGCATCTTCAAGTTACTCCCCATGTCAATGTTTAATCTATTTTAAGTCTTGTTGTGTGATTCATTTCACACAATTAAGAGCCTATAACTCAGGTATATCCACATCTGACCCAGTCCTCCTAGGTGACAGTGGAGAGTAATAGGTGTCTAGGGTATGTGATTAATCCAATTTACATGTGTGATATTAAAACAGAAAAAGTCACTTTCTTATCACACGCTTATTTCTAATTTTCTTTTTTCTAAATATRTGGCCTAGATGACAATATCAACATCAGCAGACAAACTGCAGATGCCTGAAGTCAGGCATGATGTTGAATGCTCACACACGTTAGATGACACGACAAATCTTGTGTCATATCATGCTTTGTCCTTCAGTATTATATAATGCATAATGAGAAATTTAAGCCAAACCATCCCTATTTTTAATGTAATTTTATTTTTTAAACTGCTCGTGTTCATCTTCTGAAGACATACCCAATCTAGATCTAATTCTGAGGAATTCTAAATTCCTCCAGTTTCACAGCACAAGTGTAGGCACGTACCAAAATCTGAACCGCAGCCGCTAAGCTGTCTAAAGGAAAATCTGGAAGTCCCAACGTAGAAGATTCTTGAGAGCAGAGAGTTGTAGCAAAAGAGAGGAGCTGAGAAACTCTGCATAGAAAAAAAAAGCAATTACAGAGATTTATACTTGCCAAGTATATTTAAATTACAAAAGCATAAGAAGCTAAACACAGCATACGATGCTGAAACTATTTCTGAGCACAAATAACCAACGTWCGTGTGATTGAAGTTCTAAAGCATTAAGGATTCATTATGTGAAGGCTGCATATGAAAAGATGTTCGAGCATACACCCACACATATTAAAAAACTCCTGTAGCTCTGSTATCTATGAAGTAACAGAAGTAACAAAAATAGCAAGGAATCCTGAAAGGACATCACATTCCTTCATTCATTCCTCTTTTTTTTTTTAATTATGAAAGATTACCTCTCTGTAGAAATGTTTGATCCAATTGAATATAATAGCTGAAGATGGTCCTGAAAATAGAACATAACATCATACAGTAAATTAATTGCTGGAGGTCATACTGTGGGTCACGGCTCATGATGCATTTTCCACTTCTCCTTTAATTTAGATGTGAAGAATCCACCCACCACTCCACATAGAATTAGTTTTACAGAAGTACCACATTATCAAAACTTAATTTGGGACTTATATTGTTTTATGGAAGCTATTTTTTTCTGCTGTAGCATTCCCTGCCAACTCTAATCCTGCTTTTCAGGAATTTATTAGGTAGCCATATGAATAATGCCCTTTAAGATCAAGATATTACCTAGAGATTCTTTTCAGAGATGAAGTATGTAAAACATTATGTCAGAATATTGTTAGTTCTACTCAATACCTAAAATCCAACCCTTCTGCAAGGATACTTACCTTAAAGGGCAGATGATAAACATCTCTAGCTTGAAATCTAGAGCGAAGGGGAGGATCCAAAGGGTTACCAGAATATTTAGGTACTGGCAGACCCAAAGCTATTACTCGAAAATCTTCACTAACCCGAACAATCTTCCAGGCATCTAGCTCTGTTTTCGTATGATCCTAAACAGGCAAAATAAAGCAATAAGAACAAAAAAAAAAAAATCATTAAAACTCGTGATGACTGAACTGCACATAGGCCAACATTTCTGACTCTTGAAACAAAATGTGCAGAAGAAGGAAGTGCTGAACAACTCAAACTCACAGATCATACAAGCAAAGTTTTAAGATGAAGGTAGACAAAATACCTTGTAGAAGGTAGATGAAATGAAAGGGGAGCTTTCAGTCCCCTAGGAAGCTGCTCAAAGACCCCACAGCTGTTCAAAGTTCAGGAAAAATGTTACAACCTTGTTTGCGCAAAGAACAATGAATAAACAAACTACAATTTTTATTTTAAAACATTAGAGATGTAACCATGAGCAAGGGATTTCATTTCTTCATTTCTTCTACTTGTGAATGTGAAGACAACTCTAGTCTGAATAAAAAAAGTAGGCTTTACACAAGCAAAGCAACAGAGAACTGTCATTAGACTCCTTCATAAGAAATGCATTTAATTTGGTGTATATTCAGTCTTTGCCACAAAGATTCGATGCACATAAAACAAGCAACCTTTTGGTCACATTAAAGTCAAGTGAAACTACATGAGTACTTCCTGCAGACCTAGCTCGAGAGTAATTATTCATATAGGAGAAGAAAAAATGAGTATTACCTTATATAATACAATATTCCTCAAACATCAAAACAATATTAGATTCAGCATCACAGMAAGAGATTTATTTAATTCATTTACTATTATCACTGTGCTTGAGGCACTCATTTTGAAATATTTTATCATTGTAAAAGTGCTAAAAAGAAAAAAGAGGAAGATGTCCTACATAGCCACAACCAAATCCTATCTTTAAATATAATTACATCTAAAAGCTTATTTTGTAAATACAATAATAATGCTTCCAACAATTATACCTATTAATTAAACAATATAAAATTTTTTTTTGTAAAAAGCATGGATCAGAAGAATTGTAACCTCAAAGGAGAGCAAAAGGGAATGATGAAAGTATTTCCAAGAATCCACTAGAGTACTTAATGGCACAGTAGATAATTTAATAAAATCAGGATCAATGGCAGAAGGTTTACTGCAAATTTCCTTCCTCTGACTTTCTAGGGCACATTGGCTTGAACCACACATCTAACTCCAGCTGGGTAAGACAGACTGAGATCGGAGCAAGCAGGGGTCACACTGACAGAGAAGACACAAACAGCTACTTGACAGACAACTACAGCACATGATGGTAAGGTAAAGAATCCTAYAGAAAATGCTGCTGAATTTATCAAGGTCTCCAAAAGCTTTAAAAGGATCTACTCAAATTTAAGCAGCAATACCCAAAATGTGGCAAACATTAATTTGATGAATATAGCATAGCAGTAGATATTAAAATATCATTTCTTATCAAAAGATAAGTTTCATATCTGTCCTGCAATTTAAGATTAGCTATTTACCTACACTTCTGCAAATTAAAGATGAGACAGCATCCAGAAATACAGCATCTCCCACCACAATCTTTTTTTTTCTTTTTTAATATGCTAACATTTCCAAAGCTTTACAGAGATTCCTGCAATGTGAAAGCATTATCTGAATTTCATGGGAACATTTGGAACATCAGTTCATAGTTGGCCAACTCAGAGTAGCTTTCACRTAGTTTAATATAAACTACTCTTTTTGATATGGACAAAGGAGATACAAAAGGGAAAAAAATATTGCAAGAAGGAAAGGAATGCTTGAATCCTCCTATAGTTTTTACCTTSCTAATTTAATCCCATGTCACACTCCAGAGAAGAACATCAGCACCTTGACGAGATTTCCCCCATTTGCCAAATGACTATTCCACTTACATGACTACAGAACTGTCAAAAATGGGAAAAAAATGGGAAAACGCAAACGTCCTTCCATACCTGCAGAAGCTTGTCGTAACGTTCTGCAGACATGAGAAAACGACCGTCCTCCAGCTGCATCTCCCTGTTCTCCAGCAAATTGTTCAACACGGGCAAGACGTTGCGCTCGGCCTTCTCCAGACCTTCCAACACAAGGATCCTGCCTTCTGTRGCCGCACGAACCGCACACTTTCGACAAGAAGAAGCAGTGTTACAAAAGAAATGCACAACATGGCACATCTCAAGAAATCCTGCTGGTGATGAAACAGTAGGTGCTTCTCTTACAGTATTTATTTCCATGATAAGCAATAATCATAAGCAATGATCATAAGGAGTGACCACTAGTTGTCTGTACAGTGCTACACTGCTATCATCTGAGCTGCCCTTTCATCTCCTCCTCCAGGACTGCAAAAATTAGTTTCAGTGTCTTTTTTATCAATGGAATAAAAGGTAAAATCTTTCAGAAATTTTAGTGTATACTCACTATTTATTAACTGGTGACCTCTCTTCTGTTTGATATTGTTTATTCCTTTCTGTTTTCCATGTATTTCAATGCCATCTAACACTTCTGGGATAGCTTGTTATATAGAAAATATAAGATCACGGTAATTGTACATATTTGTAAATATTTTAATATAATTGTAAACAAAAAGTCAGATGTTTCTCTCAATTAGTCTGGTTATACACCAGTRTAAATCCACTCTATTGCCAGTTTAACATGAATATAACTCTTGAAAGCAAACATAGACCATAAAAASAAAATAATGCCATAATTAAGACAGAGGTGTTTAAAAAATATATGAAATTGAAACRAATTAGAATTATATTCCTTGGTGGAACATTATCTCCTGCATCATTACAGGCTGGGGCCTGACGTGCTGAAGAACAGCTCTGCATAGGACCTGGGAGCCTTGTTGGCCAAGCTGACCATGAGCCAGCAAGGTGCCCTTGTGGCTAAGAAGGCCAAAGATATCCTGGGGTGCATTAGGACAACGAAGGGAAATGATCCTCTCCTCCTCAGCCCTGGTGAGCAACATCTGGAGTAGTGTGTCCAGCTCTGGGCTTCCCCGTGCAAGATGGATATGGAACTACTGGAGAGAGTCCAGCACAGGGCTATGAAAATGACTGAGGGACTGGGGCTATGAAAACAACTGACGGACTGGAGCAACTCTCTTGTGAAGAGCAACTGAGAGAGCTGAGGGCCTTTTTCAAGTAGAGAAGACTGAGAGGGGGTCTTATCAATGAAATGAATACAAATATCTCATTGAGTGCGGGTCAAGAAGAAGAGGCCAGACTGTTTTCAGAGCTGGCCAGTGACAGGATGAGTGGCAAAAGCTACAAACTGAAACACAAGAAGTGCCACCTGAATTTGAGAGAGAACTTCCTAACTGAGCAGGTAACAGAGCATGAGAACAAGTGCACAGAGAGGTTGTGGAGTCTYCTTCCTTGGAGATACTCAAACCTGCCTGGRTGTGACCCTGTGCAATGTCCTCTACAGGTGACCCTAGCTTGTTCAGCGGGGTTCAGCTACATGACCTCCAGAGGTCCCTTCCAATCTCCATGTTTCTGTGATACAAGGGGCAGGAGTACAAATCCAAGCTAGACGCAACCAACCATAAGAGCATTCAGGTCAACAGCTGAACTGCTCCTTGCCACAAATCATGAAGATCTATTTGAGACCATATGTGAAAAGACTAACAATTATTACTTTAGGTTCGTCCTGTACTCAGGATAGACAGATAAACACTTCCTGGCAAAACTAGCCATAATGTTAGCTTTTTCCATCATTATTAATAGGCTCTGTCTTTAAAATTAATTGTAAACTGGACTCAAGTCATCAACTTACCAAAATAACAGTAATAATAAAAAAAATCACTCACAAATCCTGGTATRCATCTTCATATCAAGTTCCCTTTCCTGAAAATATTCTATATAACACATATATCTAGCCTCATAATGAATATCTGAGAAATTTGGAAAATTCCCACTAAAAATGAAATAGTCCACAAACTAATTCCCTTTAAAGGAATCACTAATTTCTTCCAAATAAATTAACATGTGAATTGATTTTAATGGTTCGTTTGGGCATGATACTTTAGGAGGCAATATAAAATTCCTCCCTCCTACTCTTCCTCTCATCCTTGTCCCATAAAAGGTGTATGAGGGACAAATTTTGTACTAATGTTCTTCTCAAGGAAGGTTACTGGTCACGCCAAAAATCTGCTCCAACCTGATGAATAGAAAATTTCAGTCTCCAGCTGCCAATCCAATACCTGGCATGAGGAAAATGCTCCTATTTTGTTTGAACAAAGTTTGCAGACACAGCAGAACATACTTTAATAAATGATTTATTTGCCTTGTTGGCAGGATTCTATCTATTATAAGTCTATGAGGAAATTTGTGACTGAGTTTTATTAGCCAGAGGAAAATACACATTTTGCTCATATGGTTTCAAAATATTTGGAGTATCCATAGAATCTTGTTGACTCATGTAGAGACACGCACACCATGGATGAAGGTCTGCAGAGCTAATAGGCTTCCAGTATCAACACAGATTTATGTCCTGGCTTGAACATGAAGGCAATCTGGAGTACGCTGAGACTGTGAATAAAAGGATGTATTTAACAGCATGATTAACTTCAAGAAAGAAGCTCCACACCAGCAGTGCAATATCAAGATATAGCATATTATACCCCTGTTGCCTGTTGAACACCAGCTTAAAGGATCAAAACGAAAATAGTAATAACAATAACGACTCAAAAACTTCAGAAATTACCGGAGGGTTTAATCTAACACTCTAGAGGTATAATATTTCAAAAGGTATGTTGTAGATTGTCTTGCTTACTCATCTACACCTTCTGGTATCATCCTCGGAAATGAACTGGTGCACAATCATGTTTTATCACTCTTTAACTGAAAAAAACCTCCACAATAATAATAATAATTACACCTGAGTGCTAATTTGCTGGGGGGTTTTGTTTTGTTTTTTTCAAATTGTGCTCCCTACTGTATTTTTTAAACTGAAAATTTAAACTGGAAGAAAAAACAGCCTGAAATACTGAAAATTGCTCTCCACAATAGAATGAAATAAATGCACAATTAATCTGTCTCTAAAGATGTTGCAGAGAGTACTATTAGCTAAAGTCTGCTCTGAAGACCAGAACAGCTGCCTGTCTCTAGTTGAACTGTGATGTTTATGCACTCTGGGTTGGTAATGAGGAATATGTCTCTGCAATAAGCTAGGCATAATACAAGGCATCTTCTGAATCATTATTTCAGGTTTATCTGTGTATTGATGGATTGGTTTGGAAACTAAACTGCATAACAAATAAGAGGAAAGGGAGTAAGTTTGCAATCTGTCACTGAAAATCATGTTTTAAAAATGCTTCCAAGAAACTAATCTTCATAATTCTATAATGAAAACCCAGAAATAGCTGTGCTGTCTCACCCTCTTACTAGCCTCGTTCGTTCCAAATGCTCAATACAAAGTATAATTTGACAGGAGTGCATATATTATGCAATCGTGATGATAAACCTGAGATTGTAAGTACTAATTCTTGTTAAAAGGCTGAGAAAGGGAATTGTTAAWTTTTTATCTTCAGATTTATTTTAACTGGAGCTGGGGACTATTTTGCTCTTCAGATGGAAAAAAAAAATAAGCTTAGAGCCTCCCACCTGTCCCCCTGCAAGGATGGTTACCTGGATACCTGCTCCAGGGAGTATCTGCAGTTATGATAAGCTGAGGTTTTCTTCCCTTTAAAAGAAGAAACCCTCCATACAGAATTATTCCTGTAGGAATGATTTTACGCAGCAAACATGTAATGCAAATTTCTTATTTCAGTTTTATCCTCCAGTGATAAAAATATATTTTATCTTCAAGGCAAAAGAAAAAAAAAAAAACACAGGAAAAAATCGCTAAGCAGATTTTCACAGTCTTTCCCAAAACTGAACAAGGTTGAGCTTCTCCACATAACAAGTGCAAAATAAGATAACTGCAGGAATTGGTAAACCCCAGTCATGACATAAATCACAGTATATAAACACATGAATGAAGTTATACAGTGCCACAAAGGGAGGAAGGACAAAGAACAGCTCAACACAATACTATACCGAAATACATAAATAGCAGAGAAAGAAGGACATTTTTATAAAACTAATAAATATCAGAATTGAAATTGTGGCTGAAATAAATTCTGTTTTTTATTTGTTTTTATTTTTTGGGAAAATGCCTATAATTAGACAGAAAACCTTAATCACCCTGAAATCAGAAAGGAATATTCCTGGGAGCTGTATTGAGCTTTTATTTTTCAGACTCATACATCATTCTGGGTTTCTATAAATCCGGATTATGTTTCAGAATTTCACAAGGCAACTGCTGCTAGAAATTGCTTAACAGCAATTACTGGGTGAAATGTCTTCTTTTTGGAAGCAACCTGGAGACAGGCTTTGCAGATGACCACCCTTGCTCTGAAAACTGGTTCCCCGCAGTGACATATCAAGCACAGCACCAAAATTATAGTACAGGACAACTAATACTGAACAAAGCTAATGAGATAAGGTAAGGACAAGCTACATTTCAGAAGTCCCTTCCCATGCAGCTATCTTGTTAACTCCTGCAGAATATCCCACACAATCTCATCTGAAATCCTTCCCTTCTCTCCTGTATCCCACAAACATCCCAACAACAGCATGCCTAGATGTCTCTTATGGTCAAGATCTCTCTTTACCATCCTCTAAAGGCAACGTAGAGCTTTGGTTGAGCTTCTTTCTGAGGCTAACAAAACATACAGCTATTAAATTCCCAGTGCAGCCTGCATTCCAGGGATGGATGGCAGGCATTAATCTGAGTCCCTGTAACCTACTAAGCTACCACAGGTCACAGAATGCACCGGAAATTGAGATGTTTTAAATTGCTTCCCATGGGTTACATAAAATTGACTTTAAGATAAATGATTAAAACTTGCCAAAATGTAAAAGTTATTAGGAAAAGAAATGATAGAGATTTATACTGCACTACTTTTATGAGATCTTCTTCATTTTACTGGGGAAGGAAGAGGATATTGAGTAAGACTTCAAAATTTCCATAAATTACTGAGGTATTTTTTCTAAGAAAATAAACTAAAATCATTAAGATCATCAAAGTCTGGACAATACTAGTATGGAAACAGCAACAAAATAATATATCTGAAGCAGAGTGGTTTCTCTGTAAGCAGCTCTAAAGACGACAGTACAGACTGATGTTGAAAGCAGTGACCTCCTATACCAGATTTTAAAAATACCTGGAGGATAAAGAGCATTTCTAATGCTATACCTCTACCCAAAAACATCTTTAGCATAGCTGTTCATTTTTTAAACCACTTGTTTCTTTGGGTTTTTTTTTCCTCTCATATGTTTCCAGTATGAAAGCTGTGGAGCAGTAGTGCAATGGATCATTATTCACTGGACTGAAGCAACAACATACTTCCTCCAAAATAAAAACAGGGTCAAAAATAAGTAGTAAGGTAACGAGCTATTTCAAACCTATGCTCAACCAATTTCTAAACAACAAACTTTTTATTAAAGACTTACTGCTGTTGTGTTCCTTAAATATTTGCCAATCTTGTATGTCAGTTGTTTAAAAAATGTCATTTTAAAAAAAACGGTCTCTACACAGTACCTTTTTTTTCCTGTGCCRTGTTTGATGCAACAAGAAAATTAATGGGAACTCTGGGAGCACTGCCTGGAGTGCCTTCTCTGTGGACTTTGTTATCTATCTACCTGCATTATAAAATACTGCAGTGCGGAACAGCTAGTAAACCAATTTATACTACTTGACAGTGCTTTCGTTGTGGCTAACCTAACAGTTCCTCAAAAATCCACTGTGATATCCAAGGCAGTAAGTTAGTACGTCACAGAATTACACAACTGGAACCCATTGCTGGCCGTTTTTTTAAGCTGATTTATTTTTACTAATATTTCTCTTGGAGTATATTAAGTGTTTTTGTGAATAAGTATGTATTTATAAGCATACACCAACACCCAAATGTGATCGTTAAGTGCTTCAATCAATTAACTTCATGTCCTATTTTAGTTTTTTAATCATCCTTCTGATCCTTTATCCATAAAATAAACCAAACTCAATTCTGTGCAGAGCTACCGCAGGGAGTTTCACGTCAGGTTCAYTTTGCAGACAGGATAGTTAGAGCTGTCATTTCTGTCACTCTGGACATTTCATTGATTACTACATGAAGTCTTCCATGGCAGAAGAGCCTTTTTCTCTGGTACCTTAAAAATCAATTTTACGTTTTATCATTGTGTAGCTTGCTGGTATAGTTAAGGATATAAAGATATTCCATTAAAAATGAGTATGCTCACRTATTTCAAAGATACCCCAAATACTCTATTTAACCTTGCATGCACAGAAATGACAGTGGCACACAACTTACCTAATACAGTGGGTAGTTCAATTATGCTTTCAAAATGTGACCTTATACTTGTAGTTTTTCACCACAAAGACATATATTTGTTCACATACACAAGATAAAACTAAAACTGCCTCAATGAAGACACAATGAAGACACAATGAAGACAAAAAGTAATCAAATCTAACTGCTTAACTTTTGGAAATTTGATCTCCTGGCAGGAGAAGCTGTTTCAGTCAAGTTGGAGGTTCAAGCACAGTGTTAAAGCAGCATAAAACCACTATGTAAGACCAGCTTTTCTATCTACAACAAACAAATCTGCAGGGTTAACCCAAGTACAGGGTGTGCAGATCACCTCGTATTTTGGTGATGTTCTTACAGTTCTCGACTCAGTGGCTCTTAGAAGTGTTAGTTAACTAATACTCTCATACTGAGGGCTAAATTATCTAAATTATGGTGTCGTAATCAAGGAGATAAGTTAAGACTGTCTGTAACACCAGCTAACCACAGAGCTTACATAAGTTAATGAGTTAACTCTGCAGCCTCCATAAACGCTCTTATCTCCTTGTAAATGAGAAGCTGTTTAAAGCGCTAATCCACAGCACAGTACTTTGAATTATCTCGTATTTTGCCAATAGGCAGCATTTGTCACTGCCAGAAAAGCATGAGGTTATTCGAAGCCCACAAACTGACTAAAAAATAATTTATTTAGGTGAGTGGCCATCTCTCATTCTGAGAATCTTCGAAGTTACCTATCGTGTTTCCAGAAATTAATTAAAAAATAAAAGCAGGCTTCGTAAGTGTAGAGGTAAAACTCTAGAGGTCTTACTCTATAGTAGTAAAAAAAAAAAAAGAGAGAGCTGGTTTAGATTATACATTTACATTTTGATTACATCACAGAAGTTGGCCCAGCTTGCTTAACTGCAAAGTAAATGCCTGTTTAACCGTAGGATCAAGGGGGAGACCTGTCTACCTCAAGTCACTCTACAGTAGTATTAAATTAGCTCGTGGATTTGGACATGAGCCACCTGAACCAGATTCTTTTTCAATGAAAATGAACCAAAAGATCAATTTCAGGAATTCACCTAATGTGTTTCAAGTGTTAGCTAGAAGTTGCACCAAGAGAAATGCTTGTGGACTGACACCATAACTTACAAGAAATAGATCTCACTCCTCATTATTGAAGCATATCGAAAATAACCTAGCTAAATCAACTTGTACTTTTTCAGAGGCAGAGTAATCTGTCAGAATAATCTTTATTCAAATCTCAGTATTTCAGTAAAGACAACATTAGCAGAAATAACAAGATAAAGCGTGTCACCCAAGACTTTTAAACCATATTAGCAACATGTCAGTCCCTCTGCAATTCAAATACACCACTTTACATGTACTAATTTTACATCACTTAAATCAGCCAGGACTTCCTTCCAACGAGTTGTAAACAATAGCTGGTGCATGACTGCAACTTGCCTGGTCCAGGTAAAAGGCACTGCCCCCTCGGATCTCTCGTCGCTGCTTGAGGTCGGTCTCGGTGGTGTCCCTCGACAGCGCGATGTATTCGACCTCCCGCTTGGTCAGCTCCTGCAGGCAGTAGGCTGAAGTTATCCCAAAAATAAAGCTATAACCCAAATAAGTGAACTATAACCACGGGCCTAATGGTATAATCGCACAGGAGAGTCCGAGACGCCAGCAGAGTGATCTGCAATAACTCTGCCCAAAAATCTAATATGTCCTTATTTGTAAAATGTTCTGCCTCAACTAAAATGGTTTGAATTTTTGCTCAATAAACTTTTATTTTCCCCAAGCCTGTTCTAAAAACATTATAACCAGCTATAAATTCTTTCAACTGAACATCAGTGAAGTTCTTCAWGTTCATTTTCTGGTTGTGGATGTTGAACAATCAGCACCTGCACATTATGAATAAAAAGCATGGTTTTCCATTAAAAAAATCTAAAGTTGCAGCTCTGCCACTGTTCAAAAACATCTACCCTGTGGTTCAGCTTTAATGATGCACATGCTTTGTCAACCATTATTTCAACAACATTAAGGAACTGTATTGTTTTCATCCCCTGTAAAATTATGAAGTATTTCAAAAATGAAAATTAAAAGAAAACCATTAACTTATTTTCTGTTTGTATCGGTTATTAACTCTATTTGGAGCTTTCTATCTTAAAGGTGAAAAGAAGTGATGAAAACATCATTTATATCTGATGTTCCTGCTACTTTTATATCTGGGGCATCGTGTGTTCTGTTAGGAGACAGATTCATGGTGAATTGCCCTTGCTCTCATCACTTGTTTAAAAGTATGAGATGTTCAGCAGATCTTTCTTCAGAGAGAGTGTTTACTTCTAGTTGAATGAAAACAAAAGATATCAAAGCCTCAGTAATGATTACCTTCTTATTCTTTCAATACCTATTGGATTACAAAGCCACCAATTCTTTACAGTGCAAACAGACTCAATTTTACTTTCCCATGATTAACAAGTAAATAAATAATAAAGAGAAAAGTAAAAGCAGGAGGATCTTCTCTAGCGATCAGTCTCTGAGAATAACACACACAGCAGCTTTCAGCACTGGCAGACAGAAACTCTCTGGTTTTACACGATAACCCCTATCAGCTCCCCATGCAAAGGCCAGTTTCCATGCAGTTGCCTGGCATGGCATCGAAGCAGCAGCGTGCAGCCCTTCTCATGCTGTGCAGGGGCATGCAGAGGCAAAAAGAACAAGATATATATTCTATGTCCCATGTATGAATATCAGGTGTCTCCTAAGTCACACAGAATCACAGACTGGTTGAGGTTGGAAGGGACCTCTAGAGACCATCCAGTCCARCCCCTGCTCCAGCAGGGACACCCAGAGCACGGGGCACAGGGCGGCAKCCAGGCGGGTTTGGGAGATCTCCAGAGAAGGAGACTCCACAGCCTCCCTGGGCAGCCTGTTCCAGAGCTGTGTCACCCTCACAGGACAGAAGCATGGACAGGGCCTCTTTTCAGTTTGTACCAAACTCCTCTATCTATTTTATGGAGTCCACTGAGCAAGCCAGTAGCTTATCTGACACCCTAGATCAAGAAATCTTTGCTCTCCTTCCCGAAGTTCAGAACACTGCAGCTTTCTCCCATGTGTTTTGTTTCTGAGAGCTACTCTTTGGATTCACACCTGATCTGAAAAGAAAGGGCTGACCATCCTATCAGTCCTACTTTATACATCTCCATTTGGGTCTCCTGCCCAGGCAGAGTCCACAACAGATAAAATCCTCTYCAAAAAACAAGCAACCCATCCTCCAGAGCACTTAAATACAATACTGATTTAAACACAAAATCTTGCACGTGGGGCTGCCACAGCTCCTGCAGATGGATGTAGGCAAGTTCTTCTTACATCCCGAGAAGAGCTCATACAGGCATCAACTCTTCCCAGTCCTGCTTCTCAGTTATTACTCAGAACACTCAAACCCCTTCATTTCTTTTTTTGTACAATGAAGCAAAACTGATTTGTTGTCTGTAACAGTAGGCAGATATCTTAATCCTCTAACATGCATAATGCCTAGAACAAACTGTTTCTCCATTTGGATAGCATATGGTTACACAGTTGCCCTACTCCTTTTTTTTTTCTGGAGTCTATGTAGAAAAAAAAATGTATTAAAATGCCTGTACTTTCAAAACACCATAAAACAAAAACTGAGCAGATTTATGGAAGAAGTTATCTATCACCTAAGTACCCAGCTGTAAGATTTTCTATGGCAACTTTTCACAATTTGGCTAGTAGAGGAATGACTAAATAATGTTAATGACTATTTTGCCAAGAGTTTAAGCCAGAGTTTAAGCCRTACATACCAGGTACTGCATGGCAATAGAGCGCCGCAGGGGCCCAGGAGGACCAATAAGAAAGACATCTTGGCCGAGGAGATCTTTCTGCATTATCCATCTCAAATGGTGCAGTACAGACTGGGCCAAAGAATCTGTCACTTTGCAAGAAAAATAAAGAGAAGACATATTATGCAGTTCCAAAACGTGTCAGACAAGATACTTGGYCATCCATACATTAAAATTAAAACCATATCATCCTCTTATTATTTTTCAAATCAATAACCTGATTATAATTAAACCACATTCTTTTTTTTTTCTTCCCAGCACAGCCTCCCCTCCTCTCAGAAACAAACCACAAGCACCAGCTTTTGCAGGAGGATAGCGAGGGCACAAGTGAGCCAGGAGGGAGAAGGTTTAGTTATGCATATACATATAGGGTTGCTTTCAGAAGAGTATGACAAGATCAACGACAGGGCTTCGAGCAAGAGGCAGGAGAGGTGTCTGGGATGCACTATGTGTATCTGCACAATAAGAAAGGAGGAAGGGAAGATCAAATCTTGAAATTAATACTTGTTAATTTAATTTTTATCTCTTTTCTCTCCAGTTTGAGTGCTTGGTTGCAAGTGGACACTAAAATTTAAAAACAAGCCCCAGATCTGTGTGATCCCAAGGCCAGACTGGTAGTTTATTCAGGGCGGAGTTCAGACATGGCAARCAACTCATTCTGAGGGGCTTCAACCCATCTTTGAATCAGCATATACCAGAATTGACTTTTTTTAATTCACAGAACAATATAACATGATTGTATGATATTCAAAAAAAAAGGCTTTTGAAGTATAGAAGTGTCAAAAAAATGATTTTCAAAAATTTTAACTGAATATTTTGATCTATCCCTCAGGAAAAAAAACATCAGAAACCCTCTTCAAGTTCCAGTAAACTCTATTATACCAGTGCCACCAATGCAAACAGGACTAAGATACATACGCACACAAGCACTCCATGCATTAGTATTGTCAAAACATTTGTCATCAATAAACCCAGTGTATATATACCTATATATGCTTATATTTAAACATCTGTCATTAATGTGCCAACAAACACACTGTTCTCTCATATGCTGCTATGACAATGTCGTAAGGCCGTAAAAATATTTTCTGCTTATTCTTCGCTRGGATACTCTTTTCTTTTTCAAAACAATAAGCATCACGTATCTCACGCATACACTAGATCAAATAAATTTCTCACACAGAAGCGATATGTTCCTTTCTATGAGATTTTTTTCAAGGAAATTAATATTTATATGTATATTTTGCTTATGCAAAAAAAAGGACTACTGCACCCACCAGAAGAAGAATTSCTACTGTACAGGAATAAAAATCTATTATTTTTGAAAAACATCACACAAAGAAGTGTTTTAGCAAAGGCACCGTTAAAGGTATCGTTAAGACAATGATCCCATTGCAAGGCACATTCCTTATTCCTCCATCTGTTGTATGAACAAGCCCCTACTGTATATTTATAGTGGCTGTTCTCCAAAGAAAGACTGCAATACATATATTAGAATTTTTCAAATCAACTTCCAAATCTTGCTGAAAAACTAAACTCTCTTATGTCAAATGTCATGCATTAAAAGCATGTCAAAAACAGCTTTGACAAAGCATGACTGCAAATGCCTCTGGTGCATTTCACATCAATGTGTAGCTACCTTTATTTTTAGGATGGCCTCCAGAAAAATCTTGGGTCAGACTTAAAAGCTGCACTATAAATAGAAACAAGATTTAGGAATGTTCAGCAACATCTGCAAGACAAATCGTTATGTAAAAGAGAATATAAATGTATGGAACTCAAAAAAACCCTAAATTCTTAGGAATAACTCTGTAAACTTTTATATATTCAGGGCATTTATGTTCATTCAGTTYAAACAGTAAATGCTATCTATTCTGGAAGATAAATATACAAAATGCAACTTTCAAAAATCTTGTATAGTTTCATAATTTTTCTTTTTGAGAAAAAGACATAAAGAGCAGAATTTCTTATTGTTGTGTTTATTAARAAGAGGTTGCACTGTTTCATCATTTAAACCATTTTCCTTATATGTAGATTACAGCTGGATCAAAATACTTTTCAAATTACAAAGCTCACTGGCCATATGCAAGCTCATTCAAACTAAGTGTTGTACAAATAAATTGGGGAAATTCAAAGAAAGCATCCCGATGTGAACAGCCAAGACACCAGCTCCCATTTTTCAGTTCCATTTTCTGTAGTGTGTAATATGTAATATCTCCCCACATACTAATTCTGATTGTTCCCCACATGTTTACTCCTAAAGTGAGAAAAATATAGTTTTCTTTCTACATGCAGTCTACACTGTATTCTATATAAATTTTTACATRCAGTCTACACTGTATTCTATATAAAGTGATTCCAAAGCATAGTTGAAAAGCATAGTTTTCAAATGCAGATGCATATATGCAGTATCTTGTATGATATTTTATATATTTAGACTACTTCTGTGATATCTACACTGCCAAACTTCTCTGTTTTCTCTAACTCGACTTGAAAAATGCCTTGCCACTCACGTGCTACACATCAACTCTGCTACAAGGAGCACAGAATCGTTTGCAGTGACATTTAGGAGATGAGGCAAATGAGCCGACAACAGCACCCGCGTGTGGATCGGAGCCACGGATCGGATTAATTATCCCATGAGTCAGCCGGCACGGCGAGCAAACGATGGGCTCTGCACCATCTGCCTGGGCGGCGCGCTGCCGATCGGCACCAGCCAAGCGGCCGCCCTGGTCTCCTCACGGCGGAGGAGGCCTCGCGGGCGCCATGTGGCAGCGCCTCCCTGACGCCATGTGGCAGCGCCTCCCTGCCCTGCTCCTGTGTGAGCAGCAGGATGGACAGTGAAGGAACGGCCTTCTCCTCACGCGTGGTGAGGGGACAGCACCTCACAGGATCCGGGCAGATGTTCTGTGAAGGGTGCAGCTAACGCTGGATGGAGAAATCCCCAGAGTGGAGAGGAGGAAGGTGGCGGTTGCGGGTTGATTAGGAAGCAGACGCAGAGGCAGCTGCTGCTGTTTGCTCCACAAATCAACTTTTGATAAAACACACACTGAAATGGCTACGTTAGCTTGGGGAACTTTTCAGTTCACTCCTACTCGGAGTTGTGGCAGGTGCTACGCCCACTGAAGCCACAAGATTCACTGGAGAAGGCACACAAGACGTGCTGGCAGGTCTCCATGTCCAACCTACGGAAGAAATGCCCTGAATGCAGGAGATACCAACTCTTCCCACTGTGCACAGGCAGGCAAAGTGATTCATGAACATCTCTTCCACACACAAGACACAATACATTAAAGCTCATATGATTCCAGTTTGAGCAATCCACATGAACCTAGAGGCACTTAGAGGACACCAACATATGTTACCTTCAACTGAATAAAAAGACCTTGAATAAGTCAGAATAGGACCCGGGATAAAAAGACCCTTGAATACCCTGAACCTTTGTCCCAGGGCATGGATGGAGTCCAAGAATGCCTCCTTYCATCGGGAGAGGTGAAAGTACATGGGGAAAAAGTGGTTACTGGTCACTAAGAAGGTTTACACAGTAGTTTGTAGCACATCCAGCACTGGGGGTGGCTACTGTAAAATATGGTTGGGGAAGGAAGGGACGAGAAAGGAAGTCTTGATTGACAGACATAAAACTTTCTTAAAGGGAACGTTTTCTTAAAGGGAAGATGTTCAAGAAATTTAACTCACTGAAATATATTTCACAGATTTTTCAAGCTGGAGGAAAATAAAAGAGCAGAATGAGTTGTCCAGCACGGCGTGAAGAAGGAAACGCAGCTGAGCTAAGAGCAAGGCCCTCACATGGGAGCTGCTCTCAGCTGTTTTCATTTAGCCTTTTACAAATAAAACATTGTTGCCCTTCCAATTTTATTCTAGTCAACAGAGACTTTTCAGAGTCTCATAATGAAGTTGCATCACGGTCAGTTTTCACTGGAATACTATTCTCCCCCATAAATTCTTTATAGAAACAGTTTTAATTCCAGTAATTTTTGTCGTGCAGTCACATGGAAGTAGTGAGTTGGTGCAGCAGCTTGGAAAGGGGAAATTTACCTTCCTGGATTACACAGCAGCATTTTTCTCCCACCTCTGAGTCAACTGCTTCCCAGGAAAGTGCACAAAACCCGGTGTGTGCCAATCACTTCTTCCATCTGAGCAGTAGATGTACGTCTATGTAAATCCAAATAGCCTTCTAGAAGGAACATGAAATGGGACTCGGTAGACTTGTGTTTCTATTAGTGACACATAAACATGGAAGAGATTGAACAATTCTGAACTAGATGCACAGCAGGCAGGAAAATATTCAGCTAGAGCAGTTTTCTGTAGCTCAATGTACAGCTAAAGGAAAATGCTGTGTCTGGTTTTGAGTTTGACAGCTCAGTCCGACACAGACAAACTTGAAATAATCTTGCAAAGAACAAGAAAAAGGTTCAAAAGTCTAGAAAACATGAAAAACTTGAAGAAAATTAAATCTAGAAAAGAAATGACTGTAAAATCATAAAAATTACTTTCCGGTATGTAAGAGAGAATCACAGGGAATAAAAAAAATGTCTACACTATCTCCATGCCAGAGAGAATGAGCTCTAACACATCAAAAAAGATCTTGATGAAGCAACAAAAAAAAAGTAACCAAAAAAAAAAGGATGACTATCGGAGCAAAGTGTATGGTGAGGTTCTAGAGTCTCACCACTGYGGATTTTAAGAAGGGGATGGGCAAACATCTGCCAGAAATGGCTCACATGGAGCTTATCCCACTTGGAGGCAACAAGAGGAGTAGTCTGGACAACTCTCCAAGTTTCTTCAGATTTTCCTCTACGATTTCTGYGTTCATGTACTTTCCTATTCCTCATTCTGTGTACTGACAAAGTGAGGTAGGGATGCAAAGCATTCCAAGCTCTTTTCCGAGTGACAAAAAGCACTATTTAAGATCCTGGTGAGGTGGTAACAGCCTAGAATGGCATCAGTTGGGAGCCTACAAAGAAACTCTAGGTGCTGAAATAACCACTATCTCCCAAAGCAGAAATCTTCCTTTGTGTTAAGAAAGAAGGAATGTAGCAACAAAAACCTTCCTTAACGCAAAATTACAGTCATTGTGCCATACAGCCTGTCTCCCTGCTGTGGTGCATTCTGTAACACTCTGACTTTTAAAGAAAACAAAACCACAGAATCACAGAATGGTTGAGGTTGGAAAGGACCTCTAGGAATCATCTAGTTCAACCCCTCTGCTCCAGCAGAGACACCCAGAGCACAGGGTCACAAAAATGATGAATGAGGACACACTCCAAGCCAACTCTGAGCCTACCTTGAGCATCAACCCAACATACACACTTGTTTTCTACTTTTGTAAATGGGACATATCATACCAGGATAAGGAAAAAGAGGCATGATATTGTTAAGGCAATTCTGATGTTTTAGGTAAGGCACAAAAAAACCTCAAGACCTGCTGACACCAGTAATCCTGCTACACAGACACAACTTTTATTTCCTCACCACTAAAGCCATTCCCTTCAACCGCAAAATTTTACTTAATGCTATATTTTAATTAATATATATATATATATTAAAGTGGTCTAGAATATGCCTCTACTGACAACAGCAACTGGATTTATCAACCTAAAAGAAGCACACCTTAGAAGGAAATGAAGAACAAGAAGAAAGAAGAAAAGAAGCACACACATACCTTAAGGTAAACTCCTATTTTCCTTTTTATCACATACAAGGGAGGAACTCTGACTCGTGTTCCCAGCATAAAACCACACTCAATATGAATCGAACAGTCCACAGTTCAACACTGTTACATGCAGATTCCCAAATGCAACTGCCCCTTCAGAAAGCACAGTGGATGCGACACTGCATTGGAACTGATTATTTCCGACTTTGCAGGGAATTTGCTGTCATTGACTGAAGTGCTCTGGAAGAGCCATGTCAGGATTTTGTTGTCAAAATTAACAAATATGTGAAATATCATAACAGTTCTCTGAATGACAGAATCACAGAATGGTTAAGGTTGGAAGGGACCTCTAGAGATCATCTAGCCCAATTTCCAGAACCATTAACAAAAGCTGTGTACTGACATGAACTCAACATAAAAAAAAAAAATGAGTATTATCAGAATTTTTATCAGAAAAATTATCAGAAAAAATGAGTTTTATCAGATCTTTAGATCTTTAGATCTTTTAGATTTTAGATTATCAGACAATTTTAGATCTAAACTACAATGGAAAAATATAAAAAAAATTCTCCAAAGTATAATTAAAGAAACAATCACACTTTTCTGGCATAGCAAGATTTTTAATAAGCAGGTTTTATTCTTACAGATAAAAGAAAAATCAGCACAAAAATAAGTGTCCTCTTTCCAAAACGTATAAGACACAATTATAACAGAAATTCCATTAACACAATTCTCCTGTGTATGCCTCATTTTACCTGTCACTTAGAAAAATAAGAACGATTCTGATTTTATGTAACTTCAGTTGTAATCTTCTGAGAAAAGCCATTTGCCAACACTAGCAAAACAATTAATATTTTATATCAACACACAAAATGGAGTACTTCATATAGAAGTTGCTATGCACCCAAAATAAGACCTGAAAAGCAAAGACATGAAAATGTAAAGGAACCAGCACTAATTGTGTACTTCTGTAACAGGAAACAAGGTTTAAAAGAGGACTTAAAAAGCAGGTATATTAGGTAAGAGAAAGACTGAATATTTTAGTATCAGTTACATGACAAAACATTAGAGCTGAAGTTCTGTAGGAACCCAATATATTTACATTTCTTAATATGTTACAATAGTCTCAGATTTGCTAAGGCTAAATTTAAGTCTATAGTAATAATGCTGAGTTTAGGGTTATAGATTTGCACTTTTTTTTTTTACTTTACAGATTTGCACTTTCACCTTTACTACATCTTAAGATGATTTTTATCTGGCAGAATAACAGCAGCAGAAACATTCTATTTTTCACTAATGATAACAGCATTATTTGCAACAGTGGTAGATGAACTGCTCAATTTCCTCCTCTTAGTTCTCATTCCATTTTAAACATGAAAATGTCCCAGTGATTCCAGATGTTTTCAAGGGTATTTCCTTCTTAACTTGAAGACCAAATTACTTCTGGACTTATTTTAAAGGAAATTAGGTAACCAGATTGATAATTTTAAAATGTACTATTATTTGCTATAATGAAGTTTCAAAAAGTATTAAATTTTAGAGATGAGTATAAATATACAATAATATTCATCTGTTTTGCCCTAAGACCTGTTGCATTTTCAGCACAATCCTTTATCCTGCAAATTAAAAAGTAACCCACTTAAAATAAGAAAAAAAATGTTTGGTGAGTTATGCCTTATACACTTGAAATGCCTCACAGAGAGAATATAATTGATGTGCAGCCAATATAATCTATTTTATTTCATTATATGAATAAAACTTTGTCCCTAGTTGGATTATAACCATGGAAGTTTATCATTATGGGATTAAAAGCTTCCTAAATTTAAATAAAACACCTCAAAATGTACTTAATATTGGAAATTTTTTTTCTTATTCTTAAGTATATGAATATTTTTATCTTATTCTATATTAATTATCTAAGTTTATAACTAAAATTATTTACATTAAATAATCTTGCTATTAAATACATTCTGGTAAACAACAGTGTTCCAGACTATGATAAGAGCTCTTTTCAGTTATGATTATTAAAAAAAAAGAAAAAAAAAAGAGAGAAAAGAAACTACTAACAAGGTACCTCTAATATCTGTTTATAGAGGTTGCTTTCAGTTGTAGAATCAGATTTAGCAAACGTGCCATAACTCTGTACAATTCCATTTTTAATCCTTTTCTGTTTGACTACTTTTCGTCCTTGCACCAACTAGAAAAATCTCACCTTTTGATTCTAGCAAATGTTTTCGTGCCCTCTTATCTTCTAGTCCCGAGAAGTGAAAAACAGTCCTAGCAAGTCAGACCCAGCCATCATTTACATTTGGTACTGGGCATGAAAGCAAAGAGGCAAAAAACAGTGCACAAATACACATAAATAAGTGAAATAGATGATATTTATTGACTGTTGTGCTCAGTCATGCTCAGTATGTAAAAGCAGGCATCGAGAATAAATGATGAAAAGCAAAAGCCTATCATTTAAAAAGCTGTAAAAAGTAATACACTAGCAACAGACTAGTCCCATTACTCAACTGCCTGGCCGCATTCCCAGGGAACTCACAAGGTATGGGAAGTGTTACTCCAGCAGGGACTGACATACGGCACAGGGTATCTCTGGCGCATCAGCTCTCCTGGCAGGAGAGGGTCACAGTCTCATGCCAAGTGGGGCACGGGAATTAGCAGTCCAAAGTGCAGTCACAGCCTGATGATTTGGCCAGGCCAGAGTGCTGGCCGACCTCACGCTAATCACTGACCGAGAGCACCAACATCACCTTTCCGTGCTCCTGCTACGTCTCTCCAAGGACAAACAGATCAATAGACATTTATTATTTATGTGTCTGATGTTTGTTTGAAATGTAAAGAAGTTGTGGAAACATTCGACATTTCAGAAGAACAACCGCGTTGGAGAAGACAGGGCAGCTGAGAAGCAGTAGCCTAAACATGTCACTGCTAACATSGCTCTGCTATTCCACAGCTACTACAAAATAAGGAGCGTCCCACGAACTGAAGAACTCCCTATACTGAGAAGCACTGAAGTATTTTGCTTAAGAATGCAACAACATAAATGCTGCAGAGCTGATCCTGCCCTACCTGTGGCTGTGCACGTCACCTGCAACATCCCGGTCCCTCTGGTCTCTCACACGGCATCCCAGCCGCCCTGCCAGCTGTGCTCTGGCGAGCCTGGTGCTCCTGCAGTCTATGCCACTCCGAGAGAGAAAACAACATCCCTTTCCCTCTCAGAAACACCCTCCAACCCAGCAGTTTTCTTGGTTTCTTCCTCAAAATGTCATGGAATGAATGCACACACATTGGAAAGCAAATTCACCYGAAGCGCACGGTAGCGTTAGCCCAGGCTGCACTCGCAGGGCCTTGCAAGACCAGTGCAGACAGCAGTTGGAAGCTCTCAGGGCACGGCCAGTCCTAAGTATAATAAAAGCCACAGCCCTTTCAAATACCACACCACAATGTGCTTGTTTTCCCAGACCTGCCTTTGTTTTTTGCCTGAAAATTGATCTGGATGGAATTAACTCTACGTGTAAACACATAATTTGGCTGTGACTTCTTATTAACTTGGTCGATTGCAAAAATTTGTATGTTGGTTGACAACAGCAACAGGACTACCTGAGAATACAAAAAGAAAAAAATCACAGAAAATTCCCATGCGTCTGGAAGATAATACCATACAGCAACTGAATGATAATTATAAACTGCCACAGTTTGAGCAAAGAACTAGTATATTACTTGCAGAAACAACTGTTGAATGAGGTCCCTTTTGAACAGTTTTTAAACAGACATGAAAGATCTTTTTATTATGTCCATGATTAATGGGATGAGCTGTATTCAAAGCCACAAGATTCCTATTTAACTAACTGTAACAGAGAAATTATGAAGAATTAGCTCCCACTCAATGTATATATTGCTCTCTCCTCGTTGTGTACTTTTTCAAAACGTATTTCCCAGATAGTTTCACTTAAGTCAATGGGCGACTTGAATGAATACAAGTTGTTAGAATAAGACCTTGACAGCCATTCAAGAAGAAAATAGATTCTTACTGTACTTCTGTGGAACAAGCTCTGGGTTCTTCGGTGTTTTGAGTTTAAAAGACACATCTCCAATAGTTACAGTATCACCTAAAAAAAAAAAAAAAATTATTATTATTTCCAGATACTTTTAATATATACAATCCATTAACTTTTAACATGTACAATCCATTAATGTCTAAAACATTGTCCTGTGGTGGGAAAGCTGACTRCAAGTTCACAAAGTAGGATATGTTTGAGATTTATTACTTTACTAATTAGGCTTTAATAGCTTTCATTAGATCAGACACCAATACAATTTATGTTTAATTAATAATCCTCTTGTTTTTATTATTATTTTGTTACTGTTGTTATAACCAGGACATACTTTGAAGAAAGCTATGGAATTGAAGCCAACTATAGAGCTTCCTTGCAGGCACCCTCACAGATATGTTGAAATTAAATCTTCACCCTGTTTGCCTCCAGAAACAGCAGTGAGAAACACATGGGGGAGTGATGATTTTCCTGAGTTTTCAATCAGCCTGAAACAGTATCTCTTAGAGGTTCAAAATTTGTACAAATGTTTTTGTACTAATGGGTCCTTCCTACACTCTCCAGCAGTAGAGCTGCAGCATCCAGCRCCTTTCCACAGTTCCAGAGGATGCAAACGTTTTTTTTTTTCCCYTCCCCTMTGGATTTMACTATTTCCTAAAACCTAAAACTGAGCACCTGCCATTTTATTTAGTAGTCTCTTAACTACAATGCACAAAAGTCTTATCTGCCTTTCTGCACAGGCAAGTTTGAATCAAACTGCCTGCCGTGCCCTGTGCACTTGCTCATGGAAATCAGAGCTGAAATCCAGTTTGCAGCCAGGAAATGGGCGAGCACCAAGAAGGCAGAAAATACAGAATACAGAAAAACACAGCACAACTGCCAAACATGCAAAGCCAAGAAAATGACTAGTAACAAACTCAAAAACTTTTCAATAGCTGAACTAAGCCATACAAACAAATTTATCACTGATAATACCATGAAGCCAAGTCACCTGRTGAATATAGTAAAATTGTACTATTTTTTTCAAATACTACTGTTGAAGATAACACCATCTTTGCTAACGCACTGTAGTACATCCGTGACATGGACAGGATTAGGATGATTGGCAGTAACACTGCTATACAGCAGTGCAGCTTTGCCACGACACACTGATTGCACTGCATTTCCATAAGTCAAAGCCAAATTTTAGAACTGTTTATGACTGTGTTTTCTGAGAACTAGAAAGCATGTGGCCATGGACAAGATCCAACCGTAGAAATCTTGTTGTCCATCTGCAGCTCCTCCTACAGCATCTGAGAGGCTCCTTTCTCCAGGTGCCTATCAGCAGCACTGCAAGAAGACAGGGAGTTCAGAAGATTGGTGCTGGTAAACAAGAGGAAGATGCTGAGGAGGAAGCTCATGCCCGAATGAAGAGAGCTGCTCCCATGCAGCAGCCCTCCTTTCAGTCACTAGAGCAGTRATTGGCATTTTGCCCTCAAAGGCAGCTTTTTTCCAGCTTCTCCAGAAGTAACTGCAAATCGCATCGGAGTGAGGATTCGTAGGTTCTGACGTTACCCATATAGTCTCTGGTCAAAGTTACACATTTAGGACTTCATCTACAGCAGCCAGTGGAGAAGCACCTAAAGCAAGAAATAAGTGATGAGGGAAGGATTACAGCCGATATCCTCCCAAATGGAAGTGCTGACCAATAAGCCCAAGCTTGGGATTCACATCCATGACATACATGCCTGCATTTGGATGTCCTTGATGTTCCTGAAGACCAAATAAACAACCTCCCTCTCTTTTTTTTTTTTTTTTTTCCTTAAAATATTGGCAGAAGAGGGTAAACTGGTGATTTCTCCCACATTTTATGAAACCATGGAGTGCTAAAATGAMTTGCCAGCATGGGCTATATCTAGGCAACAGCAATACCCTATATAAAGGTGAACGAGGGTTCAACCTCAATCCTAACGCCAAGGGCCACCAAGCAGTTCCTATCTTCCCTGCTTGGAAGGCAGCATCCTTCTCTGGCTGATGTTCTTAGAGCCAAGAGGCAGACGGTCCAAACTGAGCTGAGGCTAAACCAGTAGTTAAGCAGACGAGGTGATCAGTGGTCCAGGGCTTGAGCTCATTTCCTGCTCCTCTTTAAATTTGCAGTAACAAATGTACTGAGGATTCCTGGGCAATCTTCAACTTAAGTTGATGCTTGAAACTTCAAGTTTAAACTCATTCCCAAAGAAAGTGCAGCAACAGCTCAGGGACCTGRTCCCCATTCTGGGACTGTTACATATTTTAAAATTAAAGGGTTGCTGGGCAAAAGACACGACCTTGGAAAGGAGGGAGATCTAAGTTGTGACACTTCCCAGGGTTGGCCCRATTTCTCCAGCTTTAAAACAAGAAAAACTAGTTTTGTCTCCTGTCCCCTTTCTCAAACTACAGTTTTAAGCTCTCCTCTCAGTAAAGAACAGCTAAAGTCTTGACCAAAATGCCCCCAGAAGGAACCACTGCAGGAGCGCACTGCTCCCTACAAGAACCACCACCTCTTCCCTCGTCTGGGAAGAATTTTAACATGCTAAAAAGAGCAGGTTGCCCAATATATCCTCAGGAATTTAGTGCCAGTTTGTTTTCTCACCATTCCCCAGCCAACATGCAGTGAGACAAGAGTATGTGGCTAATTAGTTTCTTGCTTAAATCACCTCCACTCTACTTGTAAACACTCTTTCATACATGCCTGGCCTTCCAAAACACAGCAGGGATAAGAGACCAGATGCCAAAACAACAAGGTGTCAGACATTTCCATACATTGGGATAATGATATCATCTCCATAAGAGTATTTTAACTACCTGTTTTATTGGTTGAGTACTGAAAAGCTTTATGCTCATTTCTACATGCTTTCTATAAAGCTGAGCAAGCAACTGAGTCTGGTCTAGGTGAAAAAATTAAAAACACCCTCTTTTGTTGGTATTTAGTTGCCCACAACATGCTAACTTGTGAGCAATACATTTAATCAATCTCTAAATTTCAAATAAAATTCCAGCTATCAACGAACGACCCTGCAAATTTCGCTGAAAACTGAGCTGGGAGGGAACTCGAGAGAGGAAGGGGAGAGCTGAGCAGCCAGCACACATATAGCACACATATAGCGCACATATAGCGCACATATAGCACACATACAGCACGTTCAGATCTTAACAGGTTTGTTGCTGTCTGGAAACAAATGTTGCCTCAAACTTGGAGCTATCCACAAGGTAAAAAATCTTACCAGTGCGGAACAGAGCTTCAAGCTACAATAACCCAAAACAGCAGGGTCTGTTTTCCTGCATGATGAAAGGTAAATGAGCACAGGGGAGATTAGGCCACTAATCTTATCACATGCTTCCACCTGGCCTATATTTTCTTGTTTAATTTGTTTCTTCTGTTCGTCTTGAAAACCTCACATTCGGTTACTCCGTTTCTACTGCATTTCCAAACTCTTTGAACAGAGACGTTATCCCAGATAAGCTCTTTCCAATGTGCCAGTGGCCGGCAGGGAACTGACAACAGCCTACTTGGTAAACCATGCTCTTAAATCAGTAAGCCACATAATTTAAGGACACACATCCCAAAAAATGTTTTGTTAATATTTAGTGATTAGGAAAGAGGTAAGAAGAGCCAGTGAGGTGACTTTTGAATCCTCCTGCGCTGTGTTGTCCGTGGAGGTCTTGCTGCTGAATACTCTTTGCTTTCAATTCACCTTCACAGAGTAAGCAACGTAACGGGCCACTGTGAAACATGGAACACCCCAAAACACTCCATCCCAGCTGCCAGGCACTACAGTGGATAAAAATTATCCACCTTGGTGGTGGATAATGTGTGGCCTTGCAGCCTTGTACCGGATTGCTGAGGCTGACTGCAGTGAGGACGTGTCCCTGGTGTCTCAGGTTGCTTCAGGAAATGCTACCTTAGCGAGCACAGTCCCTGGGGAGGGCAGCAGGGTACAGGGAATGCCCAGTGTGTATAACGAGCTCAGTCTGCTGAAAACAAGGGAAGTGCCAGCTACAGCAGGGTCCAAAGGGAAGGGGAGCCATCCCAGTCAGAGGTGGGTCAGCATTACAAGGCAGGCGGTTACAACAGAGGGATTACAACTCGGAGATATGGAAGGCACCTCAGTACGGGCAATGAGCTCTGCACGGAGCAGAGAGCCCGCGATGCAGCTCTGCTGCCGGGGCAGTTTGCCTGTGCACAGCAACCRGCCGGCTCTGCAGCGCCTGGGAACTCCCACCCTGCCTTCGTTACGGGCACGTTTCAGACAGACAACACGTGAACACGCACGGCTCTTCTTCCCACCACTGACAAATGCCCCCCGCGTGAGCAGGGCTCTTCAGCTTCTCCCTCTAAATCCTTGGAGGGCTTCTGGAAAAGGCTCCAGGTCCATGAGTAACAAGGGAGGCAGGGAGAGCACGTGGGGAGAGCGTCACTGCAGGAACATCCCGGCTTTTATCCCCCCTGGACAGGCTTTTCATGAGAGCCACTGGGGTGCTTTTGTTGAATAATCTTAGCAAGAAGATTTCCTGAAGCCACATCTAATCATCAGTAACATGGTAAGATTAGTGCCTGTCTTCTGTTCAAAAAAACGCAGGGCAAATACCCTTCTTCTCCTCCTTTCCTCTCCCCAAATCCTATTCCCCAATTACATGATTTTTCTACATACTAAGAAAAAAAAGGAACAACTTTTTTACTGCAGTGTATCACATCTGAAGATAAGTAGACTGCTTCTCCACTACAATTCATAAATTTAAACAGCAGAAAATGTTTTTGCCACTTTCCCAGTGAAATCACATATTTTTGTGTACTTGTAACTAATCTTAGAGTAATAACTTTACACAATGCAGTTCTGATCCCATGGATAAACCTTTATGCTCTTGGGGTTCCTACAACACACAACACTGAAGCTTTAGGTATGCTCACGCTTTAGGGTAGCAGACCTTATTGCCTTTTGACCTCTTTTGTCCCCAATTTATGAGAAACTAATGCCCTCCTAAAGTGATTTTAGCATTTTGAACATTCCCTTGAACACAGACTATCCATCTAGTCTCAAAGG